AATACATGGCATTAGAAATCTTCCTTATGAAGAAAGATTGAAGACTCTTAAGTTACATTCACTTGTTAGACGAAGAATGAGGGGAGACCTGATCGAAGTGTATAAGTGGAAGATAGGTATTAATAAAGGGGATATTAACAAGGTCTTGAGGATATCTCTCCAAGAGAGAACCCGCAGTAATGGATTTAAATTAGATAAGTTTAGATTTAGAAAGGACATAGGAAAGTATTGGTTTGGAAATAGGGTAGTTGATGAGTGGAACAGTCTACCTAGTTGGGTTATTGAGGCTAGGACTTTGGGTAGTTTCAAATTTAGGTTGGATAAGTACATGAGTGGGAGGGGTTGGATTTGAGAGGGACTTGCACATCGGAGCTTGTTTCTTGGGTGGCATTGAAAATTGGGTTGGTCAAATGTTTGTTAGTGGGATGAATTGTAAAGGACCTGCCTAGTATGGGCCAACAGGCCTGCTGCAGTGTTCCTCCTTTCTTATGTTCTTATGATCAAGATTATTGAACCCTTTCCTCGGCTTAAATCTGGTAAATAACAGAACAATACACAACCCGCACATAGCACCGTATCATCCTTTGCAGACGACACTACGATTTGCGTGAGTGTCATCTATCAAGGACACGGCAAAACTACAAGAAGATATAAACCAAATTTTCCAATGGGCAACGGAGAACAATATAATGTTCAATGAAGACAAATTCCAACTACTCCGTTATGGAAAACTGGAGGAAATAATAGCTAGAAGTGGGTATACTACAAACTCTAATTACACAATAGAGCGGAAAAGTAATGTGAAGAACCTGGGTTTGGTAATGTCTGAGGATCTCACCTTCAAGGATCGCAACAGTGCCACTATCACATCTGCGAGGAAACTGATAGGATGGATAATGAGAACATTCAAGACAAGAGATGCCAAGCCAATGATGATCCTTTTTAAATCAATTGTTCTCTTTAGGCTGGAATACTGCTGTACATTAACATCCCCATTCAAGGCAGGTGAAATCGCAGGTCTGGAGAATGTACAGAGATCCTTTACTGCACATATAAGTTCCATCAAACACCTTAACTACTGGGAACGCTTGGAAGCACTTGACTTGTACTCACTGGAGCGCAGGCGACATACGTCATAATCTATACCTGGAAGATCCTGGAGGGACTGGTCCCTAATCTGCACACAGAAATCACTCCCAACGAAAGCAAAAGACTTGGCAGGCGATGCAACATACCCCCAGTGAAAAGTAGGGGCGCTATTAGTAGACTAAGAGAAAACACTAAGTATCCGGGGTCCAAGACTGTTCAACAGCCTCCCACCAGCCATCAGGGGAATTACCAATAGACCCCTGGTTGTCTTCAGGAGAGAGCTGGACAAATACCTACAGTCGGTGCCGGATCAGCCGGGCTGTGATTCGTGCGTTGGACTACGTGAGGCCAGCAGTAACAACCTAGTTGATCAGGCCCTGATCCACCGGGAGGCCTGGTCATGGACTTGGACCGCGGGGGCGTTAATCCCCGTAATACCCTTCAGGTCGGTAGGTAGACATAGGAGAGAGGAGCTTATGACCACGTTTCGGTCTGACTTGGACCATTTACAAAAATCACAGTGTAACTAAATGGTCCAAGTAGGACCGAAACGTCGTTGTAAGCTCCTCCTATGTGCGGGTTATTTGTGTATTAAATCTGTTAAGTCTCCAATTTCCCTGGTGTTGATCCCTACGGGCTTAGCGAATATTTAATTTATCATGGTCGTTATATACGTTGTGGTTTCTCTTGTCTATTTCTTTTTACTCTTCTGGGTACTAAACGGAGTTGAGAAAATTAGATAATTAGCTTTGTTTTTTCTTAGTAACCAGTGAGATAGGTAGCGGACGTCTAATTTATCTTAGTTTAGCATATCTGATATTATTTTCTCAGAATAAAATATTCATATGATTATAATAAAACTGTTTTATGATTATTATTATTAAATTACAAATACGTAGTGTTTAGATAGAAAAAATAATGTGTTCGTGGTGGAGTGAGGTAAATCAGGGGTGTGAAATTTTGGTGATGACACAATGGCAAGAACAAGAGGCATATCCAGGAATTGACTTTCCTTTACGGCACGCAATAAACCTATAGAATCATTTTGAAGTAGTCACGTAGGGCATGATAGAACCGGATGGCATGATGATATTGAGTTGTTTTACTCCAGTGTATTTTTAACACCCTAAGATGATAGGAGAATCATGCCACTAACATCCATTATACACTATTTGCATGTGAATATATGTGAATATATAAGTGTGCGTGTACACTCATCTGAATTTTCTTCTTAATTTCTTAATAGCTCTTGCTCTTAGTGTTTTTTTTTTAATTCAGACAAGGAGGTCTGATGTCAACATAGTTAATATATTTATAGATTAGTAGAAGAAATTCATGTCAGGTGTTCGAGAGAGGTGTGGGATTAGAAACTAATGAATCTGATATGACATGGAAGTTGTCACGGTTCTTTTGGTAAACAAGTCTAGGAGGTTGTGTAGAAGAATAAAAATATAATGCGATCACAAAGGAAAAGGCGATGTTATTATTATTATAATCCAGGGGGAAGCGCTAAACCCGGAGGATTATACAACGCCTGGGGGGGGGGATGTGGAAGGCATTCAGACTTAATTCGGGGAACTGGAGCACAGATCCAATTCCCTAAATCAAGAGCCCCTCACCAACATCAAGGAACCTTCCAAAAGGCGATAGAAGCAACGAAAAAATTAAGCAATGGAAACTTTGAAATCAAAGTGGAAGGAGGGCATATGGAGGAAGTGAGTGGAAGTAAATGGACATTTCGGCAGATGGGTCTGATAGACGAGCAGAACCATAAAATAGATGAAGAGAAAACGGTAGGTGGAATGTTGAAGAGTGAATCTGGGGAAAAAGAGGTTTTTCTATGGAGGCGAATATAAAAATGTACCAGAGCATAGTGGTATCATCTCTTGTTAATGGGTGTGAGGCCTGGGCCTAATTAAACGTTGCAACGAGGAGGCTGGACGCAGTAGAGATATGTTTGAGAACAATGTGTGATGTGAACATTATGCAAAGAATTCAGTTTAGAAATTAGAGGATAGTGTAGGGTTATAAAAGGTATTATTCAGAGGGCAGAGGAGGGGTTGTTGAAGTGTTTGAGCACTGAGAGAGGATGCAAGAGAATTGGAAGACTAAGAGGGTGCATAAATATTTAGCTGTGGTAGAAGGAAGGAGGGGGGAAGGGGTCATCCCAGGAAGTGTTGGGAGGAGGGTTTGATTGTTTTAATTAGGTTAGAGTATGAGCAAGGTAACATTTATGAAGGGACTCTAGGAAACCGGTTAAAGTGGCTTTCATTTTGGAGGCGGGAAGTGTAGTAGTACCTGTACTCTGAGGGGTGGGGCTGCTCCATTTCACAAAGCCATTTGAACTGAGATGTCTGCGCACGTCTGGCAAAACCTCAGTTGAATGAATGAAGGTTAATGTTTACATCTTAGTAAAAGAAAATTGTCCTACCTCAGCTGACTGGAATTCAAAGCCCAGCTCTATTAAGATTACGCTTCCTTCTTCCAGTAAGTTACCCACGACAGTCTACTAACACGTATTTACTGCTAGGAAAAGAAGGGTGTCATATATAAGAAAACCTACATATTCGTCTCGGCGTGCCCTGAATTAAACCCGGAGCTTTCTGTTATCGGCCGAAAGCACAGTTTTTTGTATAATTGAAGAATATTCTCTTAAGAAGAGCTTTTTAGGACATTTTATATCTATGTAATATGTGTTTTATGTCAATGTTGGAATAATAGTGTAGAGCAACTGATATATTTTAACAGTATTGGGGCAGCATGCATATACTTGAGAATTATATTTCTAGGAAGTTTAGTCAGGTACACATAAATACAGTTACATTAATTACCATACATAGCAGCATGTGTAGATTACCTAGGGTAATCCAAAAAAGTCAAAGGGACTTATTTCCATTGGGTTCCTTGGACAAGTTAGGTTAATGTTTATTATGCACCCCATACCCATCCTGTGGACAAAAAAGCCGTAACTCGTTCAAACCCCAATGAAGGGTTTGAACGAGTTACCCGCTCCAGGAGGAATCATATTTTGATGATAGCGCATTAAAATAAGAAACCTAATATTAAACATTTATGTATTTTTAGCGATACTGTAATGGAAAATTCATTATCATATCAAATATAACTGTCTACGTATATTGCATTATGATACAGCACCACATATTACAATAACAAAAGAAGCTCGTCAGAAACATCACACAGTTACCGATAAGTGTCGGATATTGGTTGATATAATGCCGCATTAACTTTAATAATAAGAGGAGAAACAAATGGGTGGGGAAAAATGCTCCAATTAAGTATTGTGCGTCGGTGTTGTGAACACAGCCGGGCTGGGTGACCGGCGGAGCATCAGTAGCTGCTGAGCTGCCTTTCTGGGAGGTTGTGTACATATACTATGCCTGGTATTTGGGCACTGCATGGTCTTGACAAACCAAGGATTTTTTTTTAACTTTGGTGTTTAATGGAGAAACCAATGTAATGGGACGAGACATCGAGGAGTCCATCACATAACTACCTGCAAGCTGTTGATTGCTTCGTGACATGAAGAAATTGGACTATTAAACTGTGCTGGAAAAATAAGGAGCGCTGTATAGCCGTTGTGGGTTAGCGCTTCTTTTTTATTCTAATAATAATGGAAAAATAAGGGAGCATTCAGTCTTCAATTTTTATGGTTAATATAGTTTAAGCGAGACCCCGTTTTTTGCTGCTGATCCTCGGCGTGAAACTTATTTGACTTGGAAAATAACAGCAGCAGAGGTAACAGATAACTGCTGGAAAGATTGAGAAATATTAGTGCAGATATTGACTACCGTTGCACTCTTGTTTTAACAAGAAATTAACGCTCAGATCTCGGTCATAAGTTTTGTAAAAAAAAAAAAAAACGAACTAACTCGCTTATGTAGATTAACTCACAACTTATGGCTCTGTGGAACCAGATAACCAGTATTTAAATTTAAAATCCTCAATAAAACTAATTTAAACCTCGAAATCCACTGAAAACTTGAGTTTCGTGTGTTACGAGATGATCCATCAAGGACTACAAACTTGGACTCGTTCACCTCGATGTTGGCTCTCCCGTGTTGCCAAGCTGTTTCCTCGAACCTTGATACAAAGAGGCAGTAATACAAGAACCCAAGAGGCTTATGGAATTCTGCAAGCTGATGTGGATATGCTAGAAGAGCCTGTGTTTGGACAGAGCGAATTTAACAACATTGCCTGATAACGGCTTTGATATTCTTGTAAACCAATTATTTCGTTACATAAAAAAAAAATCCAGTAGTTGCCCACTTGTTACTACGGCATTTGGCATAGCCAGGGTAGGCACCTTTTAAACCAAGGATCGAGTTTAACATAATCATTACTAGATTCAGTGATAGATCTGGAGGCCTGTAAGTGCAGAGACGTCATTTATTGATAGATCTGGAGGCCTGTAGGTGCAGAGACGTCATTTATTGGAAACTCTACTAAGAATTTTGACTTCTTTCAGGTCAAGACTGGGAGCTATCCCACCTAACTTCCAGGTGTTCTTAATCGGAGAGGTGCTGAATATTCGATTAACAATTACTAGGACCTAACGAAGTGTTTCACGGCTTTCAGGCTTAAAAGCCTGCTAGCCCCATCTCATAAGCTCATTCCTCATTAGTTAACTTTTAACAATACAATCCTTAGGGTGTAATCTGCATATGTGACCAAAATCATTTCATTAACCGCATTCCTATTTTAGGCAGTGGATTGGTATTGACTTAAGTTTAGAATTACATCTCTATTATATTGTACGGGGAATATTCTCAATCTTAAACATCTGACCAACAACGCCATCCATGGCCATATTTGGTACTGGATATATATGTTCTGTCTTGTAAACATATCAAGTGTTTATAATTGCTTTATCAAGATTCAGTCGATTTTATTTATATCTCTGCTTTTTTTTAATCGTTCATAGTTTTTTTGTACTTATCGAGTGAGTGTGGATCTCTGTCACTACACCAACGGTTGTAGTAGCTGTTGAATTCACCTCGCTTGTTTTTAGTTGGCCACCCCTGGAGTCCACGAGACTTCAGAATGTGTAAACAAGGGGAACGTGTGTCACAATATTTTTCAAGGCCCTACTAGTACATTTTATTGAATACATTTACGAAGATTCATATTGTATTTATAGCTTGCCATTATGTCAGAATATATTTCCATAAAGTAATTACATATTATTATATCAAAAATATAATAAGTAGCTTTTCATGTGATTCAGGATGTTCCTTGTACTTTATAATAGACATCAATCTTGGTAACCGCCGGCATCCTTGACCTGAAAGAAACATTCATTTATCAAAACCCGCACATTTAACCTGTATATGTTAACTTGTCACCTCCCAAAGCTTGTGGACTAGTAACAGCCGGTACCTTTGATCTGTGAGTAGCGTCACTCGTAACTGGAAAAAATCTTACTAGTCAGAATTTGTTTAATATATGAAACAGATTAAACTCTCTGTATACACAGATATGAACTTCTTTGTTCATATCCTCTCCTGAGAACCAGGTCATTTTCATTATTCAAGTCCAAAAATCTTTGATCTGTGAGAGACATCTTTGGGAAGAAACTCCTTAAAACTCCCAGAACTAACATAACACCCTTAACCAGTCAGAAGTCAACACCGCCAGCATGAGGCTTCCTTGGCGTCTGGACTGGGTGCCCTTCAAGAGGTCTCTGAGCCTCCGTCGGGGACGCCACAGCTCGGCACTGGACATGACCTACGACACAGCTAGCGAGCTATCTGGGCGCTACCTAACCCAGGCCGAGCACTATGCCCGTAACCTTGTCTATGCTACCATCTTGCGCTCTAAGGCCAAGATCTCCGCCGCCAAGTATCGCTTTAAGAGAACCTTGGAAGAAGGAGAATTCGAAGAGACCCAGGGCTCCTGTGATAACGAGGACGGTGGTAGCCTTCAAGAAGAGCTGCTTGACACAGAGATGGTAGACATCAAAGAAAGTCTTCCAGGGAGGTTCCTGAGGCTCTCCAGACGACGGTCTATGAGGCTTCTTCGTATGCGGGCATTGCAGAGCCTACGGGATCCCTTAGCAGGTTTGATGAGCAGCAGGACGGAGTATATGGATGCTGCCGTCTCCACAGATGCAGAGAACAGGGAGGGTCCGCTTTACACCTCGGCCAGCACCTCTCCAATATTGCGAAGATCCAGAGCGCCTTCACTGGATTCGGCTCTAATCAGGGTTTCAACCCCCAGAAAACGCGCAGCTTCCGTTGCTGCTTTAACGTCCATCGAAGAGGATAACGAGAGGAAGTTAGATGAAAAAGTGCATCTGATATCACTGAAAATCCTACCTCTTTCCCCCAAGAGGACAGTGTCATCACTTGAAGATCAAATACTCGTCTTGGACCCGGTGGTTGTGAACTCGGAATCTCAGAAAGTTGCACCAGGCGATGATAACATAAAACCTACAAAATTAGAACAGAAAGTTTTGAATATGGAACCCATCGAATTGGAGCTGGAAGAGACGAAGCCAGAATCTGTAGAGTTGGAGAGACATTTGAATTCTAACTCGCCTGTGCCTCTGGAACCAGGAGGCACAAACCCAGTATCTTTTACACATGAAGATTCATGTGGGAAATTGGAGATGAGAGGCTTAAATCCTAAATCTCTTAGACTGAATTCAGATGTGAAAGTAGACACCTTGAATCCCAGATCTCTCACGAAACTGAATACTGGAATAGAAACTCAGAATTTTCCTAAATTAGAGATACTCTTAAATTCATTGTCTCGAGAAAAAATGGAATCTAGCCCAATTTCAGAGACTTTAAAATCCGATACAGGACTTTCAAACCAAGAATCATGTTCAAAACGTGAACCTGAATTCACCTATTCAAAATCTCTCATGAACCTTGATTTAGAACCCAAAAATAAAACGTATAACACAGAGCTAGAGGGAGAGAACTTGGGTAAAGAATCAACAAAATTAAGTATTGATATGGTTAATCTTATATCCACTGATATGGAAATAACCCTCAACGAAGGAGCTTCGGAATTGGAGACAGAAGCTGTATCAGTACATTCAAAACGCGAAAACACAAATTCAATTACCCCTGTAAATATGGGGCTAGAAATGGAAAGCTTAAGACTTGGAGAATCACAGGTTGAGCTGAAAACTCCGGTGAAGTCTCTTAGCGAATCGGAAACATACGTTTACCTTGATGCCTCTGTAATGTCACGCAAGAGAAATAACTCTCCAATTAGAGCATCTTTCCATTGCAGTTCTCCAAAGAAGTTAAAAGGCGAAGGCATGGAGGACTTACCATCCAGTTCCCCAAAGAAGGTAAAAGGCAAAAGCATGATGGACTTACCTTTCAGTTCTTCGAAGGCACATGCAGGCATAACATTCTCTCCTTCCACCTCCCCGAAGAAGCTAAATGTTGAAGGGATGATAAACTCGTCTTATAGCTCCCCAGAGAAGATAAATGTCAAAGGCATGCCAGACTGTCCTTCCAACTCCCTGAAGGTAAATAGTGAGAGCAGAGCAGACTCTCCTTCCAGTTCCCCAAAGAAGCTAATTGTCGAAGGCATGATGGAATCTCTTACAAGTTCCCTGAAGATTGTAAAAGGCGAAGGAATAATGGGTTCACTTTTTAGCTCCCCAAAAAAGATGAAAAATGAAGGCAGGATGAGCTCGTCATTTATTTCCTCGAAGAAGATAAAAGACAAAGGCATAATTTGCTTACCTTCCAGTTCCCTGGAGATGGTAAATGTCGAAAGCGTGACAGTTTTACCTCTCAGTTACAAGAACGTAAATGTTGAAGGCATGATGAACTCTCCTTCCAATTCACCGAAGGTAAATATTGAAAGCATGATGGACTCTCCTTCCAGTTCCTCGAAGATAAATGTTGAAGGTATGATGGACTCTCCTTCCAGCTCACCGAAGACGGTAAATATTGAAGGCTTGATAGATTCTCCTTCCAGCTCCCCGAAGAAGGTATATGCCGAAGGCTTGATGGACTCTCCTTCCAGCTCTCCAAAGATCAATGTTGAAGGCTTGATGGATTCTCCTTCCAGTTCCCCGAAGAAGGTAAATATTGAAGGCCTGATGGATTCTCCTTCCAGCTCCTTGAAGAAGGTAAATATTGAAGGCTTGATGGATTCTCCTTCCAGCTCCCCGAAGAAGGTAAATATTGAAGGCTTGATGGATTCTCCTTCCAGCTCCCCGAATAAGATAAATATTGAAGGCTTGATGGATTCTCCTGCAAGCTCCCCGAAGAAGGTAAATATTGAAGGCTTGATGGATTCTCCTTCAAGCTCCCCGAAAAAGGTAAATGTCGAAGGCTTGATGGACTCTCCTTCCAGCTCTCCAAAGATCAATGTTGAAGGCTTTATGAATTCTCCTTCCAGTTCCCCGAAGAAGGTATATATTGAAGGCTTGATGGATTCTCCTTCCAGTTCCCCGAAGAAGGTAAACGTTGAAGGCTTGGACTCTTCCAGCTCCCCAAAGAAAGTTAATGTTGAAGGCTTGGACTCTCCATCCAGCTCCCCGAAGAAGATATATGTTCAAGGCCTGATGAATTCTCCTCCCATCTCCCATAAGAAAGTAAATACCGAAGGCATGATTGACTCCAATTCCAGCTCCCCGAAAAAGGAAAAGGAGACAGAGCCCCTCTCGTTGCTGAAGAGGAAATGGAAGTTCTTGCAGGGGTCGCCGAAGAAAGTGAAAGCCGAAGCAGAGACCGAAAGATCCCCTTCTAAATCTCCCTTCAGATTTTGCCCTACTTCCGCAAAGAAGGCGAAGCTTGGGAAGGAGTTGAAAGAAACATCTCCAGCTAGGCAGTTCCAAATCCCCCCACTACCATTACCTCCCTCTAAGCACGATATCGAGACCTTCAGGAGTCCTGTCAAGCACGCACACATGTTAGCCACCCAACGCTGCGGAAAGAGGTGAGTCACTGTCTTTTCCTTGCCATAAATGCATCTGTCATTTATATAAAATCACTGGTCATTATGATCACTCGTGATGATGATGATCATCATATTCACCGCTGCCGCCGCTCCCACAAGCATTTATATAGCAGCCTACTTGAATGTTTAATATATTTTATATTCTAAAACTGCAAATATCAAAGCGAAAACGTCTCAAAGAACTTAAAGGGAACTACAAATCGTATAGCAGTCGGTTTAACTCGACGCCTGGTTATTGATGTTTGTGGTGAGGGCTGAGAGGTCAAGTCACTGCAGAGGTAGGGAATGGGGTGTACCCAGAACTGCTACTCTTAATAGCTCTGCTAGGATCAGCTATCCTGCTAGTGGGGATGTGTTTATTGATTTGATTTTATGACTAGGATGTAATATTCGTCGAAAGCGTATGAATTCCTGGTTAATGGATGCAATAGGTGTTTCCCCCTAATGGATAGTCTGTAAAACTTTTTGGGTTTTTTGGGTTTTCCATAAAATATTTTTTTAAATAATTTTTAAAACTTTTTTGGGTGTTTTGTTTTGGGTGTGGGTGGCGTATTTTAAAGAGTCCTAAACGTGCGTTTTTGGTAAAAATTTTGCCATGTATTAAAGGGAAAATTTCTTTTAAGAATGTACAAAAATTAGAGAAGGCTTTGTATTTCCCCCTCCTTTGGCCCGGGGGAGGTAAAAAAATCCTCTTTTTTTAAAATTTTTCATAAACTTGTAATGTTATTTTAACCTCTTTAATACATTGTCAGGAGGGTTAAGTAATTTTAAAAAACTACATTTACCTAAACAACCTTCCCCACAAGATAAAAACAATAGGCGGGTTTTTTAAGCCCCCTTTTAAACCAAAATGGGGGAAAGTAGCAAATTTGATTTTTCAGGGACCCCATCACGCTGGTTGGGACTCGGGGAACCCCACATAAAAATTTTTTTACGGGAAATCATTTTTAAATTTTTTTCCCGGGCTTTTTTATAATATTTTTTTTTCTGATAACGGGTTTAAAGCAAACAAAAATTTAGATTTTTCAAAGTAAAGTCAATTGACACAAAAATTTTCCGCCCGTACAGTTTCCTGCCCAAAACGGCCCAAAAAAAAGCGGTTTCACCCGTTGGTCCCTTTAATAGATTTTTGCAAAATTTAATTTCCTATGATTTTTATATTTTAAATGATACAACAGTTTTAAAAACATTTTATTATAATACCCAAAATTTTTCCAAGAATATGCTCTATGTAAATAGTAAAATGACGAAAATAAAATTACACAAAAAAAATATTTAAAAAAAAGCATTTATATATAAGCCTATTTTTTAAAATTTTAAAAAGGGGCCCCTGGTGGCTAAAGCTCTCGCTTCACACGGGGAGGGGCTGGGTTTTGATTCCCCCGCCCGGGTAGAAACATTGGGCGGTTTCTTTACACCTGTTGTTGTTCCCCATCCGTAAAAAGGGTATCTGGGTGTTTTGTCGACTGGGGCCGGCCCCATCCCGGGGCAGACCTAATTTGCCCGGGAAAAGGGTCAGTAAAACAAAAAGGGGCCTTTTTATATAGTACCCATGTCCCTTGATGTCAGCCAAAGGGCTTTTAAACCCTTTTACATGTAGTAATAAAGATATTAAATTTTTTTATTCTCCGGGGAAATCCTTTGCGACCTCTCACGGAACCCCGGGAAACCCCAGTTTAAAGCGCCCGGGGTTAGAGCCCAAAAGCTATGCTCACCAACACACCCCATCACGAGACTATGATTTTTTTAACAAATTCAGTGTTCACCAGGTAAAAATGCTGGAAGATTTTTAAAAAGAGGATGCGGACCTTATGGGTTATACGACAAAAATTATGATGGAAAACATGAAAATTTTAAAGTTTTTGAGCGATACGCTTAGAGAATGGCCCTTCTTTTTTTAAATTTTCAAGAAAAGTGCTTTGGAAGAATTAAATATTTAAATCTTTATTATCTCAGTTTCGTTTTGCATGTGTATTAAACTTGTAAATTTACACGTTAAATTTTAGACGCAAAATCAAATAGCTGAGAAAAATTGAAAAAACATATTTATTAAAAATATATAATGTAACTAAGAGAATACAAAAATCAAAATTATTATAGTTTAAGAATGCAGCCTACTATGAATTTACGATGTTATGAAAACAAAGGATGTGAGATAATCCAATTATACGTCATCATGAGACCATTACAGTCGAATAATTTATTTGCCACAAAATTTAAGTTTTGTAATTGCAAAGATTCAAATATGCACTTTTTGTACCTCACTGTATTTGCTTTGGGGAGAGAGAAGGGGAAGGGGAGAAAACTGGCTGAATATCAAGTTTTTTTCCTCGGATATTTTACAACTGCACCAGAAAATAGGACTCGTGTAGGTAGTGAATAAATTAATATTTGATAACGGTCAGACGCATTGACTTCAATTTCTCATAGTTGGTACTCTCATGTACACATTATTTGACCTTTTGAATAGTAGGCTTAAAGTAACTTATTTTATTCCAACAGCCTGGTATCTTAGAGGCAGCATAGTTGAGGTCACCCTTCAAGTGCCATACGGCGTGAGTTGTTAACATTAGTCTCCCCTATTCCGGTAATAGGGAAGACTAATAATGTTAATGGACGTTGAATATAAGACAGCCACAGCATGACCGCCCCTTAAATACCCCCTCACCAACAATTTTACCACACCCACAGCCTTGCCTTTTCCACAACTTTACCTCCCCTACGGCTGTCTCACCCACTTCCTCAACAGGCATCTGGATGCGTTCGAGTTCTACCGTGCTGAGGATGAGCGTGAATGGGCGAGACGTTACGAGGAGGTCCATGTAGACACCAAGAGTGCTTCGTCCATGTTCCGCTTGTTGCAGAGCAAACTCCAGTACTCTGCAGCCTACCCACACTTCCTCAGCCTTCTCCATCACCTCCTCCTCCTGCCCAGTAAGTCGAAACCTCTCTCCGTACTACTATTTTCTTTATTAATTATTTTCGGTATTTTTCTTTTGTTGATTTCTCTTTTGTATCCTTCGCTAATTTTCCCGAGTTCTTTTCCTTCAAGGGCTCTTAATTAAAAGGACTGGAGCTACCTCTTGCTTCCCTGGGATCAAAGCTGATAGCACACTACTGCTACATATTCCAGTTTTGGTTTAACGTACTAGTGTACTTTTTTTTCCTGTCATCACCCATATATCTGAAGGCTGTTTTAATTTAATGGTATTTCAGACGAGTTTTTCACTATGGTATTTATGCGATATCTTGATGGCGATCTGTTGTCTAGAATTACTCCCAGATCCCTCTGAAACTTTCAGTATTCGATAACGTAATATAGATATTTCTTGTGGCTATGGAGTCAGCCTACACTACTGTACTCAACTGCAGATCACATAATTGGAAGACGGGGTATAGCTATTATAGTCTTCTATCAAGGCTCAGGAATTGAACACCATAGAATTACCTCCACGTCTTCCACTGTCTCCAGAATAAGTCTCCTCTGAATTGGATTTAAAAAAAAAAAACTGTTATGCGGGCGAAGCGTCATATTTTTTGATGCACTGTAATGTTAGATACCGACTATGTAACTACTGGAGTTTTCTTACACTAATATTTTCACTAGGCTATTAGTTCTAGCAGAACTGGAGTTTCTAACACACTTGAATAGCAGTTTTTTCCATTGATGCTATCCACAACAATTGGCTATTTCACAGATAGATACTTATTTTTACTGCTAGGTGAGTTTAACATCGTGTTGGGCGGTAGTACCCACGAAGGAGGTAGGTGCCTTGATGCCTGTGAGGAACTTTATCTAAGGATCGAACCTGAATGGCTCCTATTCCCCAGGCGCCATATGACCCTTATGGGTTTAGGGCTTGATTCCTCGTGCTAACATTAAAATAAGTAAATGTGGGCATTAGTCACCACATTAGTCATCAGGTGGGTCCAGGGACCATGCACCAATATTGGTAATGTTAAGAGTCACAATAGTAATGAAATATTTTCATTTTCTTTTTTTTCAGATTAGTAGTGAGTTTATAGCCATGAATTCAGCCGCAAAACTATTACAATATAATTATATGTAATTATGGTTATGCACACACAACCTACATTTAGGGGCGGGAAAGTAATGGAAATATTTCTTTCCGACTTGGACAGAAGATATGGTTAAATTTTGGCTGATACGAGTTATTTGATTAAAATATGTGAAATGAGGGCACTTTTTTTTTTTTGTGTGTGTGTGTGTGTGTGTGTGTGTGACCCAATTAATATTTGCACTAATAACTTATTACAGATGTGACATGGTGTGGACGTGTGAATGGCTCATTACTTTGTAATTTGTTCATGATTGTAACCAAGTGTAGACGTGTGGATGGTTCATTACCTTTGTAACTTGGAAATATAAACACATATGCAGTATAATGTGATCCTTTATTGACAACGTTTCACCCACACAGTGGGCTTTTTCAAGTCACACACAGATCTACCTGGGGTGGAAGGTACGGGAGTATTTATAGTCATGTTCAGAATGTTGAGGTCAGGTGGAGAATGCTGCATCTGATGATCTACCCGGTGGGATTATAGAGTCGGGTAGCTTGGCAGGGGTATTGGACAAGTTGTGAGTAGACCTTCTGCAGTGTTCTATGTTGAACATCAAAATGGTATACAATACCGACAGGTTGGTAGGTAAGACACATAGGCAACAGTTAGGCAACTTTATTCCGAAATGTTTCGCCTACACAGTAGGCTTCTTCAGTCGAATACAGAAAGTAGGCAGGAACAGTAGAGAAGACGATGTAATCAGACTGATTACATCGTCTTCTCTACTGTTCCTGCCTACTTTCTGTATTCGACTGAAGAAGCCTACTGTGTAGGCGAAACGTTTCGGAATAAAGTTGCCTAACTGTTGCCTATGTGTCTTACCTACCAGTGTTCTATGTTCTTATGTGGGATAGCGATGAAGAAGTTTCTTGGCGAGTGGTTCAGCTATGTTATAGAAGCCGTTGTTCTAGTTGAAATTGTTGGTTATAGAGATAAGCGATGATTCCAGGATTCTTCGGTATTGAGTGTTGTCTTCTGTGGCGATAAGTCTTGAGTTTCTGTAGTTAATTAAATGGTTGTGTGAATTGCGATGTTGTACACAGGCATTCCTTGTATCGTCAGTCCTGCTTGCATACTGGTGTTCTGAAATACGTGTTTGGAGGTCTCTTGATGTTTCGCCCACATATAATTTGTTGCAGTCATTACAAGGGATTATGTATACCCCTGCAGAGGACGGTGGCTTGTCCTGTCTACTACTGGTGATGTCCTTGATGGTCGTGGTTGTGGAGGTAGATACTTGGAATGATGTATTGGAAAAGATGGAAACATGTTTGGCAATGGAGTTGGTGGGGAGGACTATGTATCTCTTCTCGGCAGTGTCTTCTCTGGGTGTGTTGAAGATGTTTAATGCCCGCCGTCTGCAGTCTCTGATGAAGTGACGAGGATAGTGGAGTTTAGAAAATACTTGTTCAATTATAGTGCATTCTTCCTCAAGGAACTCATTGCTGCAGATTCTGAGTGCACGCAGGAAGAAGCCTATAATTACACCACGTTTGGTTTTGGTGTCGTGGTGAGAGTAGAAGCGGAGAAGATCGTTTTGGTTGGTGGGTTTTCGATAGACTTTAAAACGAAGTTCGTGGTCAGCTTTGCAGAGCAGAACATCAAGGAAAGGAAGAGTGTTGTCGACTTCTTCTTCAAGTGTGAACTGGATTGAAGGCTTGACCTGGTTGAGCTTGTCTTGGAGAGCTTGAACGTTGAAGCGTTTAGGAGTTATGAGGAGAATGTCGTCAACATAACGGAGCCAGGTGACAGACGAAGGGATAATGGTGGAGAAACGTTCGGCTTCTAGATGTTCCATGTATAGGTTCGCCAAGACCGCACTGAGCGGTGAACCCATGGGTAGTCCAAAAGTCTGCTGAAAGAGGTGATTTTCGAAAGAGAAACACGTAAAGCCAACACATAGTTCAACAAGGTCGATAAAGTCGCTGGCTGGAATGGGAAGATCAAGTGAATCGTCAATTTTCCTGCACAAGAGATCGATGGTTTGTGTAGTAGGTACTTTGGTGAATAGGGAAGTCATGTCAAGGCTGGAAAGTTTCTTGTTCCTGATGTTGATGTTGCGAATGCGACATCAACATCAACCCTTCTCTACTTTACTTGATATAGGTCGTGTATCAGATATATTCGGAGGTCAGTTCCAGTTTTCATTATACATTTGGAAGAGTGCTCACCCATAGTGGAAAAGGTTTGTAGAGCTTCTGTAAGAGAGTTTGAATGCACTTGCCTTGGCATATTAGCACCATTGATGGCATTTCTTTCGGTGACCCTATCTTTGATGCTGAGATATTAAGTTCTTTCTACATATTTAGCCCCTCAAGGAAGGTTCCTTGATGTTGGTGAGGGGCTCTTGATTTAGGGAATTGGATCTGTGCTCCAGTTCCCCGAATTAAGCCTGAATGCCTTCCACATCCCCCCCTAGGCGCTGTATGATCCTCCGGGTTTAGCGCTTCCCCCTTGATTATAATAATAATGTACATATTTAGTGGAAGGGGAAAAGAGAATATGAATGTGCAAATTCAAGAATTATGTGGATTAAAGTAAAGGTTGGATGCGAGAAGTGGGTCATAATAAGCGTGTATGCACCTGGAGAAGAGAGGAATGCAGAGGAGAGAGAGAGATTTTGGGAGATGTTAAGTGAATGTATAGGAGCCTTTGAACCAAGTGAGAGAGTAATTGTGGTAGGGGACCTGAATGCTAAAGTAGGAGAAACTTTTAGAGAGGGTGTGGTAGGTAAGTTTGGGGTGCCAGGTGTAAATGATAATGGGAGCCCTTTGATTGAACTTTGTATAGAAAGGGGTTTTAGTTATAGGTAATACATATTTTAAGAAAAAGAGCATAAATAAGTATACAAGATATGATGTAGGGCGAAATGACAGTAGTTTGTTGGATTATGTATTGGTAGATAAAAGACTGTTGAGTAGACTTCAGGATGTACATGTTTATAGAGGGGCCACAGATATATCAGATCACTTTCTAGTTGTAGCTACACTGAGAGTAAAAGGTAGATGGGATACAAGGAGAATAGAAGCATCAGGGAAGAGAGAGGTGAAGGTTTATAAGCTAAAAGAGGAGGCAGTTAGGGTAAGATATAAACAGCTATTGGAGGATAGATGGGCTAATGAGAGCATAGGCAATGGGGTCGAAGAGGTATGGGGTAGGTTTAAAAATGTAGTGTTAGAGTGTTCAGCAGAAGTTTGTGGTTACAGGAAAGTGGGTGCGGGAGGGAAGAGGAGCGATTGGTGGAATGATGATATGAAGAGAGTAGTAAGGGAGAAAATGTTAGCATATGAGAAGTTTTTACAAAGTAGAAGTGATGCAAGGAGGGAAGAGTATATGGAGAAAAAGAGAGAGGTTAAGAGAGTGGTGAAGCAATGTAAAAAGAGAGCAAATGAGAGTGGGTGAGATGTTATCAACAAATTTTGTTGAAAATAAGAAAAAGTATATAAATAACAAAAAGGCACAATACCGTTGTTGTGATAGAAACACAGGCCTTATCTCTAGGCTTTATTGAACATAGAATCTTCATAGTACTTCTGCAACAACAAAATATAATGACTAGTACATCTAATAATGGCTTCTACAGGGATGGTGATGTCTTGCATATGTCAAGAGAAAAGTTATAACTACAGGCCACATATTTAAACTCACCATGTAATCTGCATCGCTTATAAATGGATAAAGTAGGAGAGAATCACACACCATGTGTTGGTGCCCATGACACACACCAAACTGTTGTTGTTGTTAAGGGCCCCTAGAGGTGGTGCAGTATTATCCTGCTGCTGCTCCCCACAGGACCAGTATCACTACAATCTCCCCCTTCTAAAATATCAGAGACAGTAATCTCCCAAACTGTTAGGTGGGCGACGTACACGTCCCGACCTTCGTAGCCCTTGAGCCTCTTCACCAGGTTCGATATTTTCCAGCGGGGTTTGATTAACTGCTGGAGCAGAATCCTCTATTTCCATAGGGGTAGTCTCAAGGGGCTTTCCAGGAGAAAACGAAGCATCTTTCACATCTATTGGTGTATCTTGAGATTCCACACTAATAGGGATTTCAACTGGGGCTAAATGTCTTGTAGATACTGTAGTCTCTTCACCATTTTGGTAGCGAATGTGGGCGTAATGTACATCTTGATAATCCTTTCCATTAACTCTGAGATTTACCTTACAAAACCCTAAGGTCTGAATAGAGAGAGATGTTGATGCCATGGAAACGGTACCTGATGAGTGATGTAGTCAAGGAGAGCCGTTTAACTAAGTCAAGGTTGATGAAACTCTCTGAGCTGCCACTATCAATAAGACCATCTACTTCTGTTCCTTTGATGAATACTTTCACAACTGCCTTTGACAGTGAATTTGGAGTAGCCGCAGAAGTCACTGTTGCTAGAGTCGCATGATCACTGGAATGTGTGGAGGCACTAGCTCTTGTTGATGCATTAGCACGACATACTTTAGCAAAGTGACCTTTCTTGTGGCATTTATGGCACATTGCTTCACGAGCAGGACACTTTGGACGTGGATGTCTTGAAAAACCACAAAAGAAACACACCGTACCTGCTGCTGCTGTCACTGAGGCAGGTTCCCCAGTAACTTCATTGCAAGAGTCTTGGTCAGGAATTGCAGCACTTACCACTCGAGAAGGCTGAGTGGTACTGTATACTTCAGAATTCTTCTGGGCTGAATCTAGAGCTCTTGCCTGGTCAAAGGCAGCGGCTAAGTCGAGAGTTTTATTCTCCAATAAACGCTGCCTTATTATTGGTGATTGCAGGCCCACTGATAAAAGCATCCCTGATGGACTCTTCACAATACTGAGCAGCTGTCACTGCTTGGAAGTGACAGTCCTTACCTAAAATTTTCAGTGCTTGAAAGTATTCCTCTAAGGACTCATCAATCTGCTGGCGGCGAGTTGCAAGGCGATAGCGTGCAAAGATTTCATTTGTAGGTTTAATATACTGAGACTTGAGGGTTTTGATAGCATCTTCGTAGGTATTACACTCAGAAATAGCCTCATATATCTTAGGTGACACAAAATTGATGAGCAGACTTAGTTTATCTAGATCTTCTTCAGGAAGGGCTCCCAAGAAGTTTTCGAAAGTCTTAAACCAGTGCTTCCATTCCTGAGCAGCCGTTGATAAGCTGGGGTCACAGTCTAGCCTCTCAGGTTTCAGTAAACGCTCCATGTTGTGATGTAGTCTAGCGCAGGATCACCACCAGGTAGCCCAGGATTCTATGTTCAATAAATTGTTGTGATAGAAACACAGGCCTTATCTCTAGGCTTTATTGAACATAGAATCTTCATAGTACTTCTGCAACAACAAAATATAATGACTAGTACATCTAATAATGGCTTCTACAGGGATGGTGATGTCTTGCATATGTCAAGAGAAAAGTTATAACTACAGGCCACATATTTAAACTCACCATGTAATCTGCATCGCTTATAAATGGATAAAGTAGGAGAGAATCACACACCATGTGTTGGTGCCCATGACACACACCAAACTGTTGTTGTTGTTAAGGGCCCCTAGAGGTGGTGCAGTATTATCCTGCTGCTGCTCCCCACAGGACCAGTATCACTACAACCGTGACTGGAACGATACACAAATACACACTTTGTCAATGGTCCAAGTCGGACCGAAACGTCGTCGTAAGCTTCTGTCTTTTATGTGCGGGTTATTTGTGTATAATAAGAAAAAGTTTTGGAGTGAGATAAACAAGTTAAGAAAGCCTAGAGAACGAATGGATTTGTCAGTTAAAAATAGGAGAGGAGAGTTATTAAATGGAGAGTTAGAGGTATTGGGAAGATGGAGGGAATATTTTGAGGAATTGTTAAATGTTGATGAAGATAGGGAAGCTGTGATTTAGTGTATAGGGCAAGGAGGAACAACATCTGTGAGTGTGGGGGAAGTTCGTGAGGCAGTAGGTAAAATGAAAGGGGGTAAGGCAGCCGGGATTGATGGGATAAAGATAGAAATGTTAAAAGCAGGTGGGGATATAGTTTTGGAGTGGTTGGTGCAATTATTTAATAAATGTATGGAAGAGGGTAAGGTACCTAGGGATTGGCAGAGAGCATGCATAGTTCCTTTGTATAAAGGCAAAGGGGATAAAAGAGAGTGCAAAAATTATAGGGGGATAAGTCTGTTGAGTATACCTGGCAAAGTGTATGGTAGAGTTATTATTGAAAGAATTAAGAGTAAGATGGAGAATAGGATAGCAGATGAACAAGGAGGCTTTAGGAAAGGTAGGGGGTGTGTGGACCAGGTGTTTACAGTGAAACATATAAGTGAACAGTATTTAGATAAGGCTAAAGAGGTCTTTGTGGCATTTATGGATTTGGAAAAGGCGTATGACAGGGTGGATAGGGGGCAATGTGGCAGATGTTGCAGGTGTATGGTGTAGGAGGTAGGTTACTGAAAGCAGTGAAGAGTTTTTACGAGGATAGTGAGGCTCAAGTTAGAGTATGTAGGAAAGAGGGAGATTATTTCCCAGTAAAAGTAGGCCTTAGACAAGGATGTGTGATGTCACCGTGGTTGTTTAATATATTTATAGATGGGGTTGTAAGAGAAGTAAATGCGAGGGTCTTGGCAAGAGGCGTGGAGTTAAAAGATAAAGAATCACACATAAAGTGGGAGTTGTCACAGTTGCTCTTTGCTGATGACACTGTGCTCTTGGGAGATTCTGAAGAGAAGTTGCAGAGATTGGTGGATGAATTTGGTAGGGTGTGCAAAAGAAGAAAATTGAAAGTGAATACAGGAAAGAGTAAGGTTATGAGGATAACAAAAAGATTAGGTGATGAAAGATTGGATATCAGATTGGAGGGAGAGAGTATGGAGGAGGTGAATGTATTCAGATATTTAGAAGTGGACGTGTCAGCGGATGGGTCTATGAAAGATGAGGTGAATCATAGAATTGATGAGGGGAAAAGGGTGAGTGGTGCACTTAGGAGTCTGTGGAGACAAAGAACTTTGTCCTTGGAGGCAAAGAGGGGAATGTATGAGAGTATAGTTTTACCAACGCTCTTATATGGGTGTGAAGCATGGGTGATGAATGTTGCAGCGAGGAGAAGGCTGGAGGCAGTGGAGATGTCATGTCTGAGAGCAATGTGTGGTGTGAATATAATGCAGAGAATTCGTAGTTTGGAAGTTAGGAGGAGGTGCGGGATTACCAAAACTGTTGTCCAGAGGGCTGAGGAAGGGTTGTTGAGGTGGTTCGGACATGTGGAGAGAATGGAGCGAAACAGAATAACTTCAAGAGTGTATCTGTCTGTAGTGGAAGGAAGGCGGGGTAGGGGTCGGCCTAGGAAAGGTTGGAGGGAGGGGGTAAAGGAGGTTTTGTGTGCGAGGGGCTTGGACTTCCAGCAGGCATGCGTGAGCGTGTTTGATAGGAGTGAATGGAGACAAATGGTTTTTAATACTTGACGTGCTGTTGGAGTGTGAGCAAAGTAACATTTATGAAGGGGTTCAGGGAAACTGGCAGGCCGGACTTGAGTCCTGGAGATGGGAAGTACAGTGCCTGCACTCTGAAGGAGGGGTGTTAATGTTGCAGTTTAAAAACTGTAGTGTAAAGCACCCTTCTGGCAAGACAGTGATGGAGTGAATGATGGTGAAAGTTTTTCTTTTTCGGGCCACCCTGCCTTGGTGGGAATCGGTCAGTGTGATAATAAAAAAAAATAAAAAAAATTTAGTATTTTAGTAGTGCATGAGTATCCTAGAATGATCCTCGTATTTTTGTAATGTAATTTTCAACCCTCAAGCTCTCTGTTTGACATAAGGAGAGCTACTAGTTGAACAGGGAAAGTAAGAGTGTATGAAACTTGCCCATAAATTTAGCTAGTTCCGTGTATCGAACCCGAGACCTTTCGGTTTTGAGCCAAGGGGGGGGGGGTCTCGCCAATGAACAACTCGTCACTCTTATACTGTTAACTGTCTAATACTCTCCACTTCTTTACTGCTGAAATGCATGCATAAATACATAAACATGCTTGTTTAAGAACTCTTGTATCAAAACATACAACAGATTGTCTAAAAATTAATAAGTATCCTTCTCACTCAGCCTTCATTAAAAAAAAAATCGCGTCAGTCTTTCACCTCCTCCCAGATGACATAGGAGCACCTGACCACTGGATCCTCTTTGACCGCATCTTGCAGCAGTTGGTGACCCAGGGTGAGGATGGGCAGGACCGAGAAGTGGCACTTCTTGACATCAATGTAAACAGTATTGTCAAACTGTAAGTACTGTCTCCAGTGTTCAGACTTCTATGTGCTCGAGGCCCACTTACAGTAGCCACTCGTTTTTGAACTTTTGTGTGTGGAAATTTTTCATAAATAGTTTAACTTTCATGGCAATTTATTTTTCCCTATCACTCAAGTTTCTTATTTTCAGTTAAGAAATGTATGAAACATTTTTTTTATTGCAATGCTATTATAATTTAAAAACAAAATTTCACAATGTTAGTACCGACAAAATTGTTATTCATGGCATTTATTTATTTGTCACAGCATTGCTAATGAACGAGAGTTGACAGAAAGCAGAAAGAAAATAACCAAATTAGAAGGAGATTTTGCTGATGTCGTAACAGATCTCAACAGAAAAGAACAAGAACTTTTCAGTGTGTGCCAAGAGAAGGTAAGACTCAAATAATTAGCATCAGGATACACACACCATGAGATGTATATCTCATTGTACATATGCTGAGTTATTTCACCCATTGTTTTAAGGGTTAAAGTATTCTTACCTGGTAGTGGAAAGGTGGCATGCAGCCCGCATAGTTGGTAAGCTTTAATCCTGGTTAACCAACCTAAACATCGACATAACCCTGGCTATTCACAAAAGTTTGTGAATGTTTGCTATGGGAGTTTCTTATGGGCTGTGTCAAAACATTTTGGCTGTAAAATTTGTGTCCCACTTACTGACTCAGGACCAGAAAGACCATCGTTGTCTGGCCAAAGACAATGTGGCAGGCATCCCCAACTGTACCTACACCTTAGATCTAACCCCCCCCCCCCCCTCTGACTTCTTTCTCATTCTAAAACTAAAACTGGCACTCAAGGGGTGGCATTTTAATGACATGGAGGAAATTCAAGTAGAATCGCAGGCTTCACTAGATGCCATTAGGAGAGAAGTTCAGAAATGTTTCAAGAAGTGTCTGATGCACTGGGATCAGTCTATAGCCTCCCAAGGAGAGTACTTTGAGGGGAGACAACTTCCTCTTTATTTTTTCCCTCCAATCAGATATCCAGTCTCTCATTACCTAACTCATTTATTACCCTTATCACCTTGCTCTTTCCTATATTCACTTCAACCTCTTTACACACCCTCCCAACTTCTCATCAGAATCTCTCAAAAAGCACAGTGTCATTTAGCATACAGTAGATAGCATATCAAGAGAGAGATATTAAATCTAGTGTGATTCATTGTGTACACACTTAATGGCCAACACGATCAACTTTTTGTAATTTACTAATAAATGTGCAGTTTCTCTGGGTTGCATTTTTTGTAAACACCCTGTATTAGTTGCAGTACAGTCATGATTTTACATATAAAAACACACATGGCATATATTTTATTTCATATATTTTATCATTTTCTCAAGACTGGAAAAATTTACAAAAATGTTACAACAGTCTGAGAGTTAAATTGGTCAGTGGAGGTGACAGACAAATAAGGTTAGCTGTATGTTCTTTCATTTGCAGGAGGAGCTGTCACAGACCCTCACCCAAGTTCGTGAGCAGCTGGAGGCAGAAGTTCGAGCAGGCACCGAAGCCCAGCAGCAGAACAGTGAACTTGAAACCCAAGTACAGTCTTTGACCCGCCAGATCCAACAATTGGCAGCTGGTTCAATATCTGATGATGTCAAGGCCACCATTGCCACTGTCAAGGTGAAACTGAGGAGTTATTGATGGACATATAAATGTATCATGGAGCTGAAGAAGGAATAGTGGTAATATTAAATGATCAACTGTGGAAAGAAAGGAAGGGGCTACTAGTGTCTAAATGCAAGAGTTATGCGGATTAGAAGAAAGGTATTGTGTGGAATTGTGTAAGTTTGAACTATATGATGATTGTTATTTATCTTATTACACACAGGCTCTACAAGATGCATCTGGCTTCCCAAAAGGTGCCCCTTGTCCTCCTCCTCCCCCTCCGCCCATGATGAATGGTGGACCTCCACCACCTCCTCCCATGATGCGGGGAGGTCCACCACCCCCTCCTCCCATGATGAAGGGGGGCCCACCACCACCACCTCCAATGATGAATGGAGGTGCACCACCTCCTCCCCCACAGAGTAACAAATTAAATAGACCAGCTAAACAAGTAAGTTACTTTCAGAAATATGTAAGTGCTCCTCAACTTACGATGGGGTTAAGTTTCGATGAACCCATCACAAGTTGAAAATATCCTAAGTCAAATATGAATATATGATAAGATTAAATAAATAAGGAAATAAATAACTACTGTCACTGAATAAGTAAAAGTAATTACTGTAACTAAATACTAGCCTCAGTGCCAACAAGCTGATGAAATTCGTCTATTTCCAATTCTAACTGTCTCCCAAGTAAAATCTTGATGACTACTGAATGTGCTTTGCTATAGAACCATTGTAAAGTCAAAATATTGTAAGGCAGGCCATTGTAAAGTCCAGTCTGTCTTTATATTTGTGATATTCTTAATTACAATTGAAGGTAAAGTACAGTGGACCCCTGGTTTACGATATTATTTCATTCCAGAAGTATGTTCAGGTGTCAGTACTGAACGAATTTGTTTCCATAAGGTATATTGTGAATTAGATTAGTCAATTTCAGACCCCCAAACATACACGTACAAACGCACTTACATAAATACACTTACATAATTGGTCGCATTGGGAGCTGATCGTAAAGCGGGGGTCCACTGTATACCTAAGGGTATCTGAAAGACTTTTATAAAAGTGAGAGCAGTGTTGCACTGACAATATCCAGGTCTCTTTCTCTAAAGAGATGGTGTATTTATCTTTATTGGGTAGCAGATTCCTACTTTTGCAGGATTTTTTTTATTGATGTCATCCTCATCATCAAATAATCTGAGCACACTAGGTACATTGTGAGAGGAAACTGACCTGGAGCAGAGTAATATACTAAGCCATATACTATTTGCAACATTCTTTACCACCTTGTGATGTTGACATTCTTGCACCTTATTCTAAGTCAAAATCTTTGACTTATCATTGCTTATGTCTAAAGCTTATTGAGTGAAGATTCATTATTTGGTGTTGCCTCCAACTTGTTTTATTTTCCCAGACACGAATGTCTTTCAACGAGTCGTAGTAAAAGGCATCTGTTACATGAAAATCACTTGACAACATCCTGCAGTCTTACCTGAACATGGTTTGCACACTCATCCTTTTATTGACTACAGAATTTAAGAATCAGATCTTTAAAGAACATCTCTAACTTGCCATTTTTTTAATATGTTGGCCATCTCCCACTGATGCAGGGTGACCCCCCCCCCCCCCCCCCCGAAAAAAAAAAAAAAAACTTTCATCGTTTACACTCACTGTCTTACCAGAGTCACACAAGATATGATGGTTCACATGTCCCTCTAAACAGCAGATATCCCTGGAGGTGGGAAGTTCAGGCACTGAACTTCCCACCTCCAGGGCTCAAGTTGGGCTAACCGGTGTGCCATTCTATACACATTTGGTCTGCCACCAGGAAGGATTATGTGGGTCATGTTCGAGCGAGCATCTCTCTCCACAGAATAGACAATGCAATTTCAAATTAAATTATTTAACCTCAGAACAGCCCAGCTTTTAGTGGTGAAGGATTTCTTTTTTTAATCTCTGGGTCTGGTAGTGCTTATGTTTTTGATGGCATTTCATGGTAATGGTTTCATTTTCATCATGAATGTTGTCTCCTTGTTGATTGGCACTAATAATAGTTCTGATGTGACATACCCCATATGCAATCAGATTTTCTGATTAATGACTACAGTTGAAGAAACACTATGAAATCATCATTCACTTCTCTCTAAGGGCAGGAAAAATTTATACTTCTTGAAAACAAAATAAAAAATTCAGGCATTTAAATATCTTACTCTCCTTTTAAAGGTACCAAAATTAGTATCACTTAACATTCTCAAATATTGACTCTTCTGCATGGCACCCACAGGATCATCATTCTAAACACCTAACACTCAAATTCTTCTATAAAAAATATTCGCCACAAAATTCCAGGTTTAGCGAAAAAAAAAAAAAAGGATTTGGCACTCAGACTACTCAAGAAAGATTTAAACCTTATTAGTATTTAATTTTTTTTAGGAATAATGTATATATTAATATTTTTTTAGGAATATATTTTTTCTTTGACCCATTGTTTACTTGTTAAATTTGCAGATACCTAAATCAGCAACTCAACTTCGTGCATTTAATTGGTCGAAGATGCCAGACTCCAGAGTCACCGGTACGATCTTTGCCACGTTGGATGAATGTCCACTATACAAGTTCATGGATCTAGAGGACATTGATAGAACCTTTGATGCCACAGCCGGCAAAAAAGGGAATGGAGAGGTAAAGTTTTTAAATTCTCAGTTAAATATTAGATCCTCATTGTTACCAATAAGTCATGTGTATTGCAAAAGTCGTTATTATAATGGAGAGAAGCTCGGTAAACTTGATACAGGCCTCTGTTCTAAAGTCTGTATAATTCTTGTGCTGAGAATAAGGATCAAGTGTGTAATTTTTGTATCATGAGGTAGCTGTTAATTACAGAGGCACTGGAAGGGAAATTCATAATATTAGTTAATTAGCTGGGAACAGTAGATTAAGATGAGAGTTGCTCAAATTTTTAACTGGAGGGTTAGCCACCCAGGATAAACCAAGAAAGTCAGTGCATCATCAAAGACTGTCTGTCTTATTTCCACTGGGGTCCTTCAGTCTTGTCCCCCAGGATGCCACCAATACCAGTTGACTAACACCCAGGTACCTACTTACTGCTAAGTGAACAGGGACAGCAGGTGTAAGGAAACATGCCCAACATTTCCACCTATGCCGGAGATTGAACCACGCATACTCAGTGTGTGAGGTGAGTGTTGTCAACCAAGCAATGGTGGATTAACACAACTTATCTGGAAAAAATAATATAACTCACAGAATATATTGCAATGTACACCATATGCAATATACATGTATATATTGCTGAACAACCACCCTGTTGCAGAAAAGTATATTATAGATATATGTGTAATATTTAGTGAAGGGATTCAGGGAAACCGGTTATTTTGTATAACCGGACTTGAGTCCTGGAAATGGGAAATACAATGCCTGCACTCTAAAGGAGGGATTTGAGATATTGGCAGTTTGGAAGGATATACATGTATTGTGTATTTGTATACGTATATACTTCTAAACTGTTGTATTCTGGGCACCTCTGCTAAAACAGTGATTGTGTGAGTGAGGTGAAAGTGTTGAATGATGATGGAAGTATATTTTCTTTTTGGGGATTTTCTTTCTTTTTGGGTCACCCTGCCTCGGTGGGAGACGGCTGACTTGTTGAAAAAAAAAATATGTAAAGGTAGAAAGTTGAAAGTGAACATAGAAAAGAGTAAGGTGATGAGAGTATCAAATGATTTAGATAAAGAAAAATTGGATATCAAATTGGGGAGGAGGAGCATGGAAGAAGTAAATGTTTTCAGATATTTGGGAGTTGACGTGTCAGTGGATGGATTTATGAAGGATGAGGTTAATCATAGAATTGATGAAGGAAAAAAGATGAGTGGTGCGTTGATGTATATGTGGAGGCAAAAAATTTATCTATGGAGGCAAATAAGGGAATGTATGAAAGTATAGTAGTACCAACACTCTTATATGGATGTGAAGCTTGGGTTGTAAATGCTGCAGCGAGGAGGTGGTTGGAGGCAGTGGAGATGTCCTGTCTAAGGGCAATGTGTGGTGTAAATATTATGCAGGAAATTCGGAGTGTGGAAATTAGGAGAAGGTGTGGAGTTAATAAAAGTATTAGTCAGAGGGCTGAAGAGGGTTTGTTGAGGTGGCTTAGTCATTTAGAGAGAAAGGATCAAAGTAGAATGACACGGAGAGCATGTAAATCTGTAGGGGAAGGAAGGCGGGGTAGGGGTTGTCCTCGAAAAGGTTGGAGGGAGGGGGTAAAGGAGGTGTTGTGGGCGAGGGGTTTGGACTTCCAGCAAGCGTGCGTGAGCGTGTTAGATAGGATTGAATGGAGACAAATAGTATTTGGGACCTGACGAGCTGTTGGAGTGTGAGCAGGGTAATATTTAGTGAAGGGATTCAGGGAAACCGGTTATTTTATATAACCAGACTTGAGTCCTGGAAATGGGAAGTACAGTGGACCCCCGCCTAACGATCACCACCGAATGCGACCAATTATGTAAGTGTATTTATGTAAGTGCGTTTGTACGTGTATGTTTGCTGGTCTGAAATGGACTAATGCACTTCACAATATTCCTTATGGGAACAAATTCGGTCAGTACTGGCACCTGAACATACTTCTGGAGTGAAAAAATATCGTTAACCGGGGGTCCACTGTACAATGCCTGCACATTGAAGGAGGGGTTTGGGATATTGGCAGTTTGGAGGGATATATTGTGTATTTGTATACGTATATACTTCTAAACTGTTGTATTCTGGGCACCTCTGCAAAAACAGTGATTGTGTGAGTGAGGTGAAAGTGTTGAATGATGCTGAAAGTATTTTCTTTTTGAGGATTTTCTTTCTTTTTGCATCACCCTGCCTCAGTGGGAGACAGCCGACTTGAAAAAAAAAATGTACATTGAAAAACTTTGGGCAAATTAATGTTAAATTCATGGACTATAAATGTTTCTAGTGCTGTACTCAGTATAGTAACTGTGCTGTTCTACATCACTTGTAAAATGTGCTGGAAATTCCTAATGAATGAATGTGACAACTCATGTTGTTAAAGTGAACTAAAGCAAGAGGTTGGTAATCCCAGATTGTGGATTCAAATCCTCACTCTATTAAAATATAAATATAATGTACATTCCATCTCTGTTTGGTAGGGCCCACTTCCTGAAGCCAAATATCTCATGGAGAGTTGAGGACGAGGTCACTTTGCTGAAGTAGAAGGTTTTTGTTATTTTTGTGTGTGCTCCTTGAGAGTCTTCAGATATTGACAGTTGTGTAGCGAGGTAGAGTATTCTGTACTGCATCTCTTCATTAATTTGTAGAGGTTGTGATATGGTTAATGTTAGATGTTTAAGGACCATTTTCAAGTTATCCAGTGCTTAATTTGTCCTGGATAGGATATGTTCTTTTGAAGGAACACCTTAATATATGCTGTTTATTAAAAACATCCTTTTTGTTTCCCCCCGTTTCCTTCCAGCCTGGATGAGCAGTGCACTTAATAAATTTCTGGCACTAGCAGCGAAGGTATAAGATCATGCAGCTTGTACTCATCATAATTATAAGAAATATCAATTCATTTACTACTCAATTTACTTTAGGTGGCTGTTTGACTCTCTCATCAATTTCATTGTCAACATGTGCATTTTCTTTTATCTATGATGTTTATCATCTTAGCTTTTACCTTGCAGTATCACTAGTGATGCTCTTGGGTGCCATGGGCAGTGAGGAGGTGGTGAGAGGTAAACGGGGTAACTTTTTAAAAGCACTTGGTTGTAAGTAGGTAAACTTCAGGGATGTGATAATTTCTTTTATTTTTTCTGTAGACGTTAGGGATAGAGCATTGATGTGCAGTGTGAAGCACATTATGTTGGAAACAATGTTGAAATACAAATCTGCAGACTTTTCTGTATTTATATTGTAGAATATAATCATGAATTACTACTGATTTTACTTATTTTTTAGTACAAAATTTGATTTATTTCTGTCTTTTGTACTGTACTATATTAAGGTTTTGATTGAATTGCTTTCTGCATTTCCAAAACTGAAATAGCATTGCTGAATTTGATGTGGTGACATAATATAAAGAAAGACGGCTTAGAAGTTGTGATATTGTATAACTGTTAATTACCGTAAATAGTGTAGATTAGAATATGGACCAATTCTATTACACCTTTCCATTTCCATGACACTTATTTAACCTATAAATGAAATGTAATGGTTACTTTTAATAATAGAAAATGTGTACTGAATAATGAAGGTTAAGAAAAGGGCAAATTCCATAATTTTTCCTGGTTGTTCTTAACCTTCGTAGCTGAATTAAAAGCAGTGTACATACTAGCACTGAAATACGTATAATAAATACTGTCTTTAACACACCGGTCATCTCCCACCGAGGCAGGGGCAGGGGCAGGGAGACCTGAAAAAGAAGAAACTAAAGTAAAAAATTACTGTATGCACATTAATTAGGTGCATTATGTTAGAACTCCATTTGCAGTCAGTTTAATTGGGAAAATAATCTAAATATTGAATAACATGTAGTATTACATTTTTTTTATTTTTCAGGGAGAGAAAACTCTGGAGAGAATAAAGTCACAGAAGTCGCAGCAGATCAGTGTGTTGGAGAATCGTCGCCAGCAGAATTGTACTATCCTCTTGTCCAAGCTGAAAATGACAAATGAGGAGCTTATCAAGTAAGTGAATATGTATGTGTACATTGTATACAATGTTAATTTAAATTTAAAACAGACCAAACTGGTTTAAAAATGGATCTTTTCAAAAATGTTTTCTTTTGCCTTGATAGATATGTTGGAGTGTGAACAGGGTAATATTTTGTGAAGGGATTCTGGGAAACTGGTTAGCTGGACTTGAGTTCTGGAAATGGAAAGTGCAATGCCTGCACTTTAGAGGAGGGGTTTGGGATATTGGCAGTGTGGAGGGATGTCTAAGCTGTCGTATCTGAGATCCTCTGCAAAGACAGAGATTATGTATGAATGATGGTGAAAGTGTTGAATGATGATGAAAGTTTTCTTTCTTTCTTTTTGGGTCACCCTGCCTTGGTGGGAAATGGCCAACATGTTATTTTTAATTTTGCCCCAAAACTAATTACATATGCATCCCAATCTATCCTTGCTAAGTTTAGGACACAATAATTTAACTAGATCCTGCCCAGTATATCTTAGATCATCCTAAATTAACATTATGAACATCAGATAAATACAGTACAAGAATTTTATCACATTCAGAGTGATTTTGTAGATTTTTTTTAACACAGCAGCCATCTCCCACTGAGGCAGGGTGATGCCAAAAAAAAAAAAAGACGCCTAAGTTTTTCTTCTTTTTACATTCAGTAATTTTTACAGGAGAAAGGATTACTAGCCCTTGACTCCCGGCATTTTTAGTTGCCTCCTATGACACCCATGGCATAGAAATGGTTTTGTAGTTATACAGTATTGCAGTAATGAATTTACACCCAGCATGTTTGGCAAGATGATCTTTGCTTTATAAACCAAGAACACAAGCTGTCCCTAAAATCAAACATAGATGCACCTAAATGTACTGCACCTAATAACTGTCTTCTTCACTGGCTTTGTCCAGGACAATTAGTCTGTGGCAAGGTATTTTATCTTGTGTAATTGTTTTCCAGGTAAATTTAAAATGTAGCATTATCTCTGTTTCGTTGGCTTCAGCAGGTAGATTATAATAATTATTGTTCTATGAGAGGAGTAATTTTCTGTTTAGTATTGACTTGGAAACTTTTAGTTGTTACACTAGACATAGTGAATTGGTTGGAGTTTAATAATACACTTAATATCTTTTGCCTAAGGGATCATGTGTTAAATAGTATATGCCAAATTTTTAACTGGATATAAAAACAATTATAGTCATTGTCTTATTAATCTTAAGATAGTCTTAAGTTTGCCTAAAATGCTCTGCATATTAAGGGGCTTTCTGCATGCACACCTAAGTGTCATTTGTCGCTGTACAAACATTGTATCATGTTGCAGTAAAGTATCTAAATCTGTACTGTAATCCTCCAATAGACAAGTGCTTTATTGAAATATTGCCTGTCATTGAGTTTTGTTAAATAGTGCAGTGTACTGCATCATATTACAAAGCATCTTCTTAAGATGAAGAATTAGACACACATGCAACATCTAGGTATCTTTTATTTGTAGGTGTTTTGCCAGCCAGTAACATTATCAGTACAGTACAAGGAACATACACTAAGTCTTCCTAGGAAGAAAGTAAAGTATACAGCCTTTTCAGTTTATTGCTTGTATGTAGTACAGTGAAACTCTGGTTTTCGTACTTAATCTGTTCCAGAAGGTCGTTCTAAAACCAAAAAGTACGAAAACTGAATTAATATTTCCCATGAGAAATAATGTAAATATAGTACAATTAATCCATTCCAGACACCCAGAAATATTAACAAGAGGAGGGATGTTAATGTTGCAGTTTAAAAACTGTAGTGTACAGCACCCTTCTGGCAAGACAGTGATGGAGTGAATAATGGTGAAAATTTTTCTTTTTTGGGCCACCCTGCCTTGGTAGGAATCGGCCAGTGTGCTAATAATAAAAAAACATTTTTTAAAGAATAAGCTACTAAATGCTGTAAAGAGCTTTTATGAGGATAGTGAGGCTCAGGTTAGGGTGTGTAGAAGAGAGGGAGAATACTTCCCGGTAAAAGTAGGTCTTAGACAGGGATGTGTAATGTCACCATGGTTGTTTAATATATTTATAGATGGGGTTGTAAAAGAAGTAAATGCTAGGGTGTTCGGGAGAGGGGTGGGATTAAATTATGAGGAATCAAATTCAAAATGGGAATTGACACAGTTACTTTTTGCTGATGATACTGTGCTTATGGGAGATTCTAAAGAAAAATTACAAAGGCTAGTGGATGAGTTTGAGAATGTGTGTAAAGGTAGAAAGTTGAAAGTGAACATAGAAAAGAGTAAGGTGATGAGGGTATCAAATGATTTAGATAAAGAAAAATTGGATATCAAATTGGGGAGGAGGAGTATGGAAGAAGTGAATGTTTTCAGATACTTGGGAGTTGACGTGTCGGCGGATGGATTTATGAAGGATGAGGTTAATCATAGAATTGATGAGGGAAAAAAGGTGAGTGGTGCGTTGAGGTATATGTGGAGTCAAAAAACGTTATCTGTGGAGGCAAAGAAGGGAATGTTTGAAAGTATAGTAGTACCAACACTCTTATATGGATGTGAAGCTTGGGTGGTAAATGCAGCAGCGAGGAGACGGTTGGAGGCAGTGGAGATGTCCTGTCTAAGGGCAATGTGTGGTGTAAATATTATGCAGAAAATTCGGAGTGTGGAAATTAGGAGAAGGTGTGGAGTTAATAAAAGCATTAGTCAGAGGGCAGAAGAGGGGTTGTTTGAGGTGGTTTGGTCATTTAGAGAGAATGGATCAAAGTAGAATGACATGGAAAGCATATAAATCGATAGGGGAAGGAAGGAGGAGTAGGGGTCGTCCTCGAAAGGGTTGGAAAGAGGGGGTAAAGGAGGTTTTGTGGGCAAGGGGCTTGGACTTCCAGCAAGCGTGCATGAGCGTGTTAGATAGGAGTGAATGGAGACGAATGATACTTGGGACCTGACGATCTGTTGGAGTGTGAGCAGGGTAATATTTAGTGAAGGGATTCAGGGAAACCGGTTATTTTCATATAGTCGGACTTGAGTCCTGGAAATGGGAAGTACAATGCCTGCACTTTAAACGAGGGGTTTGGGATATTGGCAGTTTGGAGGGATATGTTGTGTATCTTTATACGTATATGCTTCTAAACTGTTGTATTCTGAGCACCTCTGCAAAAGCAGTGATAATGTGTGAGTGTGGTGAAAGTGTTGAATGATGATGAAAGTATTTTCTTTTTGGGGATTTTCTTTCTTTTTTGGGTCACCCTGCCTCGGTGGAAGACGGCCGACTTGTTGAAAAAAAAAAAAAAAAAAAACTATTGTTTTACATACAGAAAACAATGAGAAATAAATATAAATGACTAATTTTAATGATAAATGAACATTACATCCCTTTAGTTAAACCTATTCTTCACAAAACTCATGACTTCGCCTTTACGTAAATCTCATCCACTATTTAAACTTGAAGACTTGTTGGCGCATTGAAGAAGGCGAGGAGGGAAGAGGGAGTTGGGGTTATTGTTCAGAAAGGGAATCCTCCTCCATAAGGACTTTAGGTATCAAAAACCTCTCTGGGGTTACTTTCCTTCTTTATTTTTTACTGGCACTGGACCCCTGTCACACTAAAAATCTGGCCAGAGAACTCTGTTTCTGGTGTCTCTTTAAGATTTACCTAAAATGGGACAAGGTATTGTCACTGAACATGTTGCAGATACGGCTTGTATCAGCTTTGTCAGGGTGATTTTTTCAACAGAAGTTTGGAACTCATTCCACTTTGCACACGCATCCTTAATCACTGAAGAAGGCACCTTCTCCCCTCTCTCTTCCTCTTCCTCTGAAGCAATTTCCTCAGCTGTGGTCTGTTGCTGTTCCAGAGGAAGATCTTGCAGCTCTTCAGCGGTTAGCTCTTCCCTGTGGTCCTCACCAACTCTTCCACATCTTGGCCACTCACATCCAACCCCATGGACTTCCCCAAAGACAGTACATTCCACAACAGGTGTAGAGTCGACAGGGTTAGCCTCAAACCCTTCAAAATCCTTCTCTTGGACACATACATCCTGGCAAGCTCGGCTAAATGTATGCCACTTTCGTATTTTTCTGCAATCTCATTTTTGAATTCTGTTGTGTTTCTCACCCTCTTTACCATTGGGCTGGCACTAGGGACTTTCTTTAGGCCCATGGTGGCTTGTCTTACAGTTGCAATCAGTAAACAAGCGCAAAAATGCAAAATGTTTCGGATGAATGCTCACTCAACCAGTGACAAAGACTGACGACGTTCCCGGGTGAGCAGATGCTTATGATATGTACACTTTCCGGATTGAGGTACGAAAACCAGACCAAAATTTCGCCCCAAAAAAGTGTTTTCAAACCGAATTGTACGATAAGCAGACCATACGAAAGCCGGAGGTCCACTGTATATGAGTGAGTGAAAGTTGTTGAATGTTTTCTTTGGGTCACCCTGATTTTTTGTAATCAGGAATAGAGAGATACCAGAGAGGTTATGTTGACTTACTGTATGTTGCAGGGTACTACTGAAAATGGACAGTGATGGAGAGTTGGCTCCTGATATGATGGAACAGCTCTTGAAATTTACTCCTACAACTGAAGAGAAGGCCATGCTGGAAGAACACCTCGACGAAATAGAAAATTTGGCACGAGCCGACCGCTTCCTCTATGAAATATCAAAGTAAGAATGTAGATATTTTTTATTATCAGTGTGAATACTGTCTTATGAAGAATGTTATTTACTTTTTAAGAGAGAAATTCAAGTAGTGTACAGCATTAATGTTCTTGCATCTTTTTGGTACTAACAAGTTAAATTACCTGGAGTTTACCTAGAGAGGGTTTCAGGGGTCAATGCCCCCGCGGCTCGGTCTGAGACCAGGCGTCATAGTGGATCAGGGTCTGATCAACCAGGCTGTTACTGCTGGCTGCACGCAAACTGATGCACAAACCACAGCCCGGTTGGTCAGGTACTGACTTTAGGTGCCTGTCCAGTACATTGTTGAAGACAGCTAGGGGTCTTTTGGTAATCCCCCTTATGTATGCTGGGAGGCAGTTAAACAGTTGAAAAAATGCATAATTTTGTAGTATGTCAACAGATTGCCTTATGCTATATCCTATTTATTTAGGTAGGTTTAATAATGAACAGGTAAGTGAAACCTGTTTGCATGAAATTATTTTCCCTGGTACAGTCATGTGTCGCAACGATGGGGATACGCTCTGTGAAATTTGTCGTTAGGCAATTTTGTCGTTGTGCGAACATCATAGAGGTGTATAAGGCTGCTGCCGTCATAACACTGCATATTGTTTTAGAGTAAGCTTTTTCTTCTATAAGTAGAAAGAGTACACTCTAGAATAACAATAAAAAGTACAGCATAATAATTACATAAACCAGTAACATAGTTGTTTATTATCATTATCAAGTACACGTATTATGTACTGTACGTTATTGTATGTGCTATACTTTTATACGACTGACAGCGCATGGAACCATTATCATATATACTATCTGTCTTTGACTAAAATGTTGTTATGCAGTGCATGACTGTATGGTTTTTACAAAATAGTTGTTCCTACATTATGAAAATATGTTCACTAAGATTAGAGAATGGAAAATGTTAAATTTTTGCTTAAACTATAAAGGATATCAGAAAATTTGTTATTGGCAATCTGGTGAGGGTGTATGCAGGGTTAATCAAGTAAAGGAAAACTGATTACAGCCTCTCTTCACTTAGTGACTTACTTGTTTACCGATGATTCAGAGTTACAAAGGGCTCTCTGACCAGCATGCATACCTAAATAATGTATATTAGAGCTGATTTCCTCTATTTGTTTAATACAATATACAGTACACTACTGTATAAACATTTAAAAATATACCAGAAAGTAATAATGTTGGTAGAATTACCGACACAAGTGCAACTATTGTGACCTTTTATTTTATAATCTAAAAAAGGTTTTAAATGGTGCAAATGTGACATTAAAACAATATCCAAGATGGTTGACACAAGCCCACTACCATTATAGTATGCTCCTCACCTAGCGACGAATTCATTTACCGGCGTAGTCTTAGGAATGAAACTCCTTCGTTAAGTGAGGAGAAGCTGTACTGTATTTTATTAAAATTGCTCAAACAGTTGATAACTTTTTTTCTGCCATTAATAAAACCATAACCTTATTATAGTCATATTATTGCATTTATTACCTAACTTGAGAATACCCATAGCTTCTTTATGCTAGATTATACAGCTTTCCTTCCTTTTTTAGAATTGATCACTATGAGGAGCGACTTCGATGTTTACATTACCAGAAAAAATTTAAGGAAAGGCTGGCAGAATGTGAGCCAAAACTATCGTCAGTTATTAGTGCAACTAAAGAACTTAAGAACAGCAAAAGACTGAAAAAGTTTATTGAAGTTGTTTTAGCCTTTGGAAATTATATGAACAGAGGTAAGCTAAGGATTTTTTATGTAATTTAATTTAATATGCTATACTGTTATTCAATTAAAATTGCAAAACATAGGTAAACTAAAGATTTTTTATGTGATTTAATCTAATATGCTGTATTATTATTTATTATTTTTTTTTTATTATCACACCGGCCGATTCCCACCAAGGCAGGGTGGCCCGAAAAAGAAAAACTTTCACCATCATTCACTCCATCACTGTCTTGCCAGAAGGGTGCTTTACACTACAGTTTTTAAACTGCAACATTAACACCCCTCCTTCAGAGTGCAGGCACTGTACTTCCCATCTCCAGGACTCAAGTCCGGCCTGCCGGTTTCCCTGAATCCCTTCATAAATGTTACTTTGCTCACACTCCAACAGCACGTCAAGTATTAAAAACCATTTGTCTCCATTCACTCCTATCAAACACGCTCACGCATGCCTGCTGGAAGTCCAAGCCCCTCGCACACAAAACCTCCTTTACCCCCTCCCTCCAACCCTTCCTAGGCCGACCCCTACCCCGCCTTCCTTCCACTACAGACTGATACACTCTTGAAGTCATTCTGTTTCGCTCCATTCTCTCTACATGTCCGAACCACCTCAACAACCCTTCCTCAGCCCTCTGGACAACAGTTTTGGTAATCCCGCACCTCCTCCTAACTTCCAAACTACGAATTCTCTGCATTATATTCACACCACACATTGCCCTCAGACATGACATCTCCACTGCCTCCAGCCTTCTCCTCGCTGCAACATTCATCACCCACGCTTCACACCCATATAAGAGCGTTGGTAAAACTATACTCTCATACATTCCCCTCTTTGCCTCCAAGGACAAAGTTCTTTGTCTCCACAGACTCCTAAGTGCACCACTCACTCTTTTTCCCTCATCAATTCTATGATTCACCTCATCTTTCATAGACCCATCCGCTGACACGTCCACTCCCAAATATCTGAATACGTTCACCTCCTCCATACTCTCTCCCTCCAATCTGATATTCAATCTTTCATCACCTAATCTTTTTGTTATCCTCATAACCTTACTCTTTCCTGTATTCACCTTTAATTTTCTTCTTTTGCACACCCTACCAAATTCATCCACCAATCTCTGCAACTTCTCTTCAGAATCTCCCAAGAGCACAGTGTCATCGGCAAAGAGCAGCTGTGACAACTCCCACTTTGTGTGTGATTCTTTATCTTTTAACTCCACGCCTCTTGCCAAGACCCTCGCATTTACCTCTCTTACAACCCCATCTATAAATATATTAAACAACCACGGTGACATCACACATCCTTGTCTAAGGCCTACTTTTACTGGGAAAAAATTTCCCTCTTTCCTACATACTCTAACTTGAGCCTCACTATCCTCGTAAAAACTCTTCACTGCTTTCAGTAACCTACCTCCTACACCATACACTTGCAACATCTGCCACATTGCCCCCCTATCCACCCTGTCATACGCCTTTTCCAAATCCATAAATGCCACAAAGACCTCTTTAGCCTTATCTAAATACTGTTCACTTATATGTTTCACTGTAAACACCTGGTCCACACACCCCCTACCTTTCCTAAAGCCTCCTTGTTCATCTGCTATCCTATTCTCCGTCTTACTCTTAATTCTTTCAATTATAACTCTACCATACACTTTACCAGGTACACTCAACAGACTTATCCCCCTATAATTTTTGCACTCTCTTTTATCCCCTTTGCCTTTATACAAAGGAACTATGCATGCTCTCTGCCAATCCCTAGGTACCTTACCCTCTTCCATACATTTATTAAATAATTGCACCAACCACTCCAAAACTATATCCCCACCTGCTTTTAACATTTCTATCTTTATCCCATCAATCCCGGCTGCCTTACCCCCTTTCATTTTACCTACTGCCTCACGAACTTCCCCCACACTCACAACTGGCTCTTCCTCACTCCTACAAGATGTTATTCCTCCTTGCCCTATACACGAAATCACAGCTTCCCTATCTTCATCAACATTTAACAATTCCTCAAAATATTCCTTCCATCTTCCCAATACCTCTACCTCTCCATTTAATAACTCTCCTCTCCTATTTTTAACTGACAAATCCATTTGTTCTCTAGGCTTTCTTAACTTGTTAATCTCACTCCAAAACTTTTTCTTATTTTCAACAAAATTTGTTGATAACATCTCACCCACTCTCTCATTTGCTCTCTTTTTACATTGCTTCACCACTCTCTTAACTTCTCTCTTTTTCTCCATATACTCTTCCCTCCTTGCATCACTTCTACTTTGTAAAAACTTCTCATATGCTAACTTTTTCTCCCTTACTACTCTCTTTACATCATCATTCCACCAATCGCTCCTCTTCCCTCCTGCACCCACTTTCCTGTAACCACAAACTTCTGCTGAACACTCTAACACTACATTTTTAAACCTACCCCATACCTCTTCGACCCCATTGCCTATGCTCTCATTAGCCCATCTATCCTCCAATAGCTGTTTATATCTTACCCTAACTGCCTCCTCTTTTAGTTTATAAACCTTCACCTCTCTCTTCCCTGATGCTTCTATTCTCCTTGTATCCCATCTACCTTTTACTCTCAGTATAGCTACAACTAGAAAGTGATCTGATATATCTGTGGCCCCTCTATAAACATGTACATCCTGAAGTCTACTCAACAGTGATTTAATCTAATATGCTGTATTATTATTTAATTCAAATTGCAATGTCAGTATGTATTTTGCAAGCTAATAACTGCTATAAGGTTAGCAAAACCTCTTTTACATAGCTGAGTAGTGTTCTTTCCTTCCATGTTCCCTCTTTCCTGCACATCAGATCACATCTTCATCATTAATGTTGATTCTTGGCAGGTGCTCGTGGTGGTGCTTATGGTTTTCGCGTGTCTTCCTTAAATAAATTGACAGACACCAAATCCTCCAACAACCGATCCATCACACTGCTTCACTACATGATCAGAGTGTGTGAGAAGCAGTGGCGAGATATCCTAAGATTAGACGAGGATTTCCCTAACATCAAAGAGGCAGGCAAAGTGAAGTTAGTAGATCTTTTATACTTTTATACATTAGCTGTACTCATGATATAGAAATATCACATAGGCACAGACTTAAGTTAGCATTGTTACACCTTTAGCCTTAGACCAAGGAAGCATTAAAATATTAAAAAACTTTGCTTTTGTTTGTAATAGACTCGAGTGTTGCCACAAATTGCATTTTGATCTCATTTGAGGTTCAGAGTTAGCTTTAGATATACAGTACTTTACTGTACTTTTCACACCCAGTCTTGCAAGGAATTTGCTACTTTTGTAAACATAATTAATTGTGTAAAAGAGGCATCACATGGGTGCTAACTTACGTTAGTCAGGTAGCATTCTGACATTTTTTTACTCTAGACCGCAGGGGTTTAGGAGTACAGTAAGTACTCGACGTACAAACATGTTGATAATCTTCTGTATTGTGTATAATAATGATATTATACACAATAATGATATAATGATATACACAATACAAAAGATTCTCAGTGTGTTGGTAAGTAGAGAGCTTACTGTGTTGAAATGAATTTCAACTTAATGCTTTCGTCATAATAGGCCTGTTGTTGCTACCAATTTCATCTTATTTAATACGTTGTTTAGTTCTGATTGTAATAATAATAACAGTAATATAATACAGTACTCAATTTGAGGAGCATAGAAATTAATCTTGACCCTGTTTCCTGTTTCATTACCTAGGTGCCTTTGCATTAGTATAGTATGTATGCTGTCTCACTATAAGCAAAGAATTGTATTAATGTTGGTAGAATTACTGACAATGTGTTAGGTAAAAGGGCACAAGTACAACTAATGTGACATTTTACTGTGCCAATGTTTCGCTCTCCAGGAGCTTTATCAAGCCATTACAGCTTGATAAATGTTGCCACAATAAAATGTCACATTAGTTGCACTTGTGTCTGTTTGCCTAACAAGCAAAGAATTGTAGCTTTGATTGTTTTATTATTTTAAAAGAAAAAATAATTTATAATCAAGCCAAATGATGCAATTTTGTGTGCTACAAATTTTTTTTAATCATTTCACTCTGGAGTTTTCAGGTAGAGTTTCAGATTTTACAAAGATTAAGCCAGTTGCGGGGAATATCGTAAAGATTTTTGTATCTTGTACTATGCCTACGAGTTCTGTTGCAACTATCAAGAAAGTGTTTCTAGACAGGAAATTATTATTGGCTACATCAAAATTGTTAGGTTATGATATTTAAACACTGTACTTGATACCTGTTGCATTATGTACACCACTTCTGTAATTATATGCTGTACTATGGTTTGTAATTATGTATCATAAAAATTCTCTTTATGGAGGGATCTTAACCATTTTGTAATATTTTTGTGCAGCATTACTGAATTAGAGAAAGAGATAAGTAGTCTACGGCAAGGGCTGGACTTCATAGAGAGGGAGGTAACGTGGCACAGAGGCCAGGGATCACCGCCCCCAGGCGACCGCTTTCGCTTGGCCATGAACGAGTTCACAGCCTTAGCAAAAGACAAGTTTACAAATTTGGAGGCTCAGTTCAATTTCATGAAATCTCAGGTGAGTATTTAACTTATTGATATTCAGTGCTGAAGATTTTAGTCTTTTTTTCTTGTAACCACCGCTACTAGCTGGCACTGATTTGCTTCATCAGCTGTGACCCCTGTCCATCATCCTCTTCTCTCTTTTATCTAACATTGATACCAGTTGCCATTGCCTGGTGGTGAGAGGAGCGACTATCGTCATTTAGGTCCAGGGATTAAATTCATGAGTTTGTCTGGTGCTCAGCAACAGGAGGATCAAGCTTCCACCACGTCTTGCACTGAATGACCCCACGGGTTTAGCACTTAACATGATTTTTTTTTTTTTAACAAGTCAGCCGTCTCCCACCTAGGCAGGGTGACCCAAAAAGAAAGAAAATCCCCAAAAAGAAAATACTTTCATCATCATTCAACACTTTCACCTCACTCACACATAATCACTGTCTTTGCAGAGATGCCCAGATACAAGAGTTTAGAAGCATATAAAATACCCCTCCAAACTGCCAATGTCCCAAACTCCCATTTCTAGTACTCAAGTCCGGCTATATAAAAATAACCGGTTTCCCTGAATCCCTTCACTAAATATTACCCTGCTCACACTCCAACAGTTCGTCAGGTCCCAAAAGCCATTCATCTCCATTCACTCCTATCTAACACACTTACACATGCTTGCTGGAAGTCCAAGCCCCTCACCCACAAAACCTCCTTTACACCCTTCCTCCAACCTTTTCGAGGACAACCCCTACCCCACCTTCCTTTCCCTACAGATTTATATGCTCTCCAAGTATTCTACTTGGATCCATTCTCTCTAAATGACCAAACCACCTCAACAACCCCTCTTCAGCCCTCTGACTAATACTTTTAGTAACTCCACACCTCCTCCTAATTTCCACACTCCGAATTCTCTGCATAATATTTACGCCACACATTGTCCTTAGACAGGACATCTCCACCGCCTCCAGCCATCTCCTCGGTGCAGCATTTGCAACCCAAGCTTCACACCCATATAAGAGTGTCGGTGCCACCATACTTTCGTACATTCCCTTCTTTGCCTCCATGGATAACATTTTTTGTCTCCAGATACCTCAACACACCACTCACCTTTTTTTCTTCATCAGTTCTGCGCTTAACTTCATCCTTCATAAACCCATCCGCTGACAAGTCAACTCCCAAATATCTGAAAACATTCACTTCTTCCATACTCCCTCTCTTCAATGTGATATCCAGTTTTTCTTTACCTAAATCATTTGATAACCTCATCACCTTACTCTTATCTATGTTAACTTTCTACCTTTACACACACTCCCAAACTTGTCCACTAACCTTTGCAACTTTTCTTTGGAATCTCCCATAAGTACAGTATCATCAGCAAAAAGTAACTGTGTGAACTCCCATTTTGTATTTGATTCCCTAACAATGCTCTTTTTCCTCAACATCTCCAGCTTTTTTCCTCCATTTCTTTTCCCTCTTATGCGTAGCATTGAGCTGCTCTTACAGATTTAGCATTTTTCATAATTGTAGTCAGTCTTCATCTACTCTCAGGAGAGTTCATTAATTTTCAGAATCTTTTAAGTAACTTGCAGTGTGATTTATTTTTTACCTTTCATAACTAAAGACTTTTTCTGTATTTTCCAGTTTGAAAATGTCACGGCTCTCTTTGGGGAAGACAGCAAAACAACGCAACCAGAGGATTTCTTTGGCACCTTTGATTCCTTTATTGACATGTTCAGGGAGGCAAAGAAGGATCTGGAGAATATGAAAAAGAAAGAGGAAGAGGAAGAAAGGAAGAAGAAAGAGGCTGAGGTGAGTAAATTAATAACTGATAAAAAGAGTATCAAATACTGTCAGGGTAGGATAAACAGAATATTTTGGTAATAACCCAGTATTGCTTATTTGAGTATTCAGTTTTGAGGCAAAGTTATTACATACAAGCAAATTGCAGATAAACAAAGCTTATTACATGCTGCAAAGATTGAGTTTAATAGACAGTTAATAATGGCTATAGTAAATCTATTTTCTTTATTTTATTGGTAACCATTATAGGAATATGACAGCAGATGTAGGTGTGATAAGTGTTGTTTAGTCTACTCAACAGCATTTATATTAAGCAAAGAAATACTGTATACATAACTACAATGACACCAAAGGACTTGAGACAAATCTTTTATTTGGGCTTAATTTAATTTTACTTCACGTCAGGTTTAGTTTTAATTTTTTTTTTTTTAAGTTTCTCAATATCTATTCTAGGAGTTTTGCAGTCATCCATCAGATTCTTTTCCATTGTGGTAGGTGCCTCTATTATATTTGGTGTACTAAAAAATATCAAAACCACAACAAACACAACTACAATTTTTATTTTTATTTTTTATTTTTTTTCAATGAACTGGCCATATCTCACCAAGGCTGGGTGACCTAAAAAGAAAAACTTAAGTTTCTCTGTTTGACTTTAGTAATGTATACAAGAGAAGGGGTTACTAGCCCCTTGCTCCTGCCATTTTAGTCACCTCTTACAATTACAACATGCATGGCTTATGGAGGAAGAATTTTGTTCCACTTCCCCATGGAAATGCAATTTTTATATGTATAGAAAATTTAAAAATTTAAACTTCATCAAATATGAAGTACTCATGTATAAAATGTGTACAGTAGTCATAATACATCTCCAACACCAGAGTTTGTATTCTGTAGCTTAGCAATACAGCATTCATCTCACATTTAAGAGGACCCATTTTGAATCCAGTTGAGGCAAGATGCATGGGCAAGTTTCATGAACTTGCAGTTTCCCTTAGCAGTTGTACCTGGTGTTCCTAGAAGCTGGTTAGATGATACGAGTCATATCTTAAGGAAAAGGCCTTAAAGATTTCAGTAAAAAATGAGCCCCACTGCTTGGCTTTTTGGGTTATCCTGGGTTATTAACACTTAGGTTAATTAAAAAAAATCTTCAACTAAAGACAACTTACCTATTGATGCAATGTGAATAAGAACAGTACACATACAGTATAGCATTGACATCTGTGGAGAGAAGCTCAAGTATGACAATATTTGCCTTTAGTCAGGAGTTCAGAAGATTTCATCAAAGTACCATTCCTGGAATAATTCGCAAATAATCTACAAATTGGAAGCTTTCCTAAAGACAAAAGAATGCAAAAGAAGTGTTTTTGCATTGCTGACACTAAGAACTAAGAACTCTTTTCTTTTTTCTGTTATATTAGAGACTTTAGCCATCCCTTACATTAGTCCTCTTCAAGGATTATTTCTTTCTCTGATCCTTCACAAACTCAATCTTGTTAATCTGCTCTTACACACAGAATCTTTGATATGAATCTTAGCCCTGGCTTTCTAAAGATGCTTGTCCCTAAATACATTCTGCTAATTATTAGAATGTTCAAAACATGCATGACTTAATTTGACTTTAGCTTTCTCTTCATCTCCCAATTTCCTGACCAGACTTCCGGCTTCCTTTACCTTGTTAATGGCCCAGGACGCTGAAAATGTTTGGCTTTTATTTCCAATTTGTGGGTTAGTTGTAAATTGAAACATTTGTGGTGACACTTTCTATTTTAATGAACTTCCATTTGTGATTCAGAGATCACAAATATCATATATGTATCACTGCTTCTGGGATTGTTTCATACTCTTATACACACAAGTCACAACTCACACAGTCATGAGAAGAAAAAGAACCCTTACACTGCACTGCATATATCAAACATAAGGAATACTATGTAGTTAAACAAGAATGAGAGTGAACTTTATTTAATTGGCAGCCCGCAACAAAATAATGAACTTATGCACAGCTGTACGAGAGACATGCCAATTCCACTTGTACCAAAGATAATGAATTACTATCTGAATGTGTTTTGATCAACATTAATCACCACTTTCTCTGGTCCATTGTCTCCATATAGTAATAGAGCTTGGTGGTAATCTCTGTGATTTTAATACAGATAAACAGAGGCAGCAACTTGTCAAACTCTACAATATAACCACTTTACTAAAAAGCTCTTAATAGTTGGACCTAGATAATTAAAAAAGTGACCCTGATAACTTCAAGATGTCATCAGAGTGCTTGATCTAAGAATATTGCTGCTGCTATTATTTTTTTTCAACAAACCGGCTGTATCCCACTAAGGCAGGGTGACCTAAAAAGAAAAATGAAAGTTTCTCTTTTTAAATTTAGTAATGTATATGGGAGAAGGGGCTACTAGCCCCTTGCTTCCGGCATTTTAGTGACCTCTTATGACATGCATGGCTTACGAGGAAGAATTCTGTTCCACTGCTCCATGTAGAATAGGATATACTATATGAGGTATAAATGAAAATACTGGGCAGGAGAAATAGTCTGGTATATTTTAATGAAAAACCTTTCTAATATAGGATGGAATATAATAAAAAAAATAATTTTATACCTACTGTACTGTACAGTATTTCATTCTTTTATTGGCCAATGTGTCTGCTGTTTAGATTTAATTATACGTACAGTACAGTAATGGCTGATAAGTATTATTGTATGCCTTATCTAAGTGAATATAGAGGCTCCCTTCCTTTATGCCAATTAAGTTGTTATTGTGCAGTGTCCTAGTTCTGTTGATAATTTTGTATATGTGATATGCATTCACCTTATCAGATGTGCTCTTTGCAAAACTTGAACGTGTTTTTTTACCACTAGCTGTCTTCCACCAAGGTATGGTGACCCCAAAATAAGAAACATTACCAGCATTTTATTGGAAATTATCTAATGGCTATAATTATAACCAAAATTTTCAAAGGGGAGGAGGAGTAAGCCAACAGAAGGCCTCGGTCAGATGACCAAAAGCTCCAACTGTGGGTCATCATATGACTAAGACCCATGTCAGGAAACACTTGCCCTGATTCCTGATGTACCTTACCTAATCTAACCTACCATCATTAATTCAGTAGTTATTTGCCCAAAGTGTGCAGACATCATATCTAAAATGATCCTCTGAAGCATAACATTGTCACTCCTCCTCCTCCTCCGGAGTGCAGGCACCCTACTTTCCTCCTCCAGAACTCAATTATGCGAAATTAAGTGTTTGTCAGCCTGATTAAGCTTAACACAGCTGCCATGGATTGCATTTGCATAAAGCAAGGAAAATGTAAAAAGCATTTCCTAATAAGTATAGAGTTTTATGAGCACCACTACTGTAACTTATCAACTTTTATTTGGAAAGCCTAAGCAGCAGAAGAATTCTGGGTCTGATGATTACAGTTTAATGAGGTTTAGCTGTGAAAATACATTAATTACCCTTGTGCAATCAGTAAAACTTAAAAGTAATTTCTGTTACAGTAATTAGATACAATTTTCATAACGTTTAAAGCACTGGGTCTTAACCATCGGCAGTCCCTGAAGAATTACTCAAGTAGCAACGAATGAAAGTTGTCAAAGAATTACAAGCAGTTATCACATTGCTATGAATTAAATCTTCAGTTTAAACTGTAAATGACAATTTACAATAAGATGAGAGATAGTGGTGGGCAGATACAGTACTGGAATAGTGTTTCACATTTCAAGGCAGTAACTACTCTTTACCTTGTGCTGTATTTTATATTCTGAATGAAATTGATTTGTATTTCTCATATTATTGATGCTAATGATTAAAATTCTAAATAGTACAGTTTTTAATGTATTTGAAAATTTAAGAATTGCTTACTGTACTGTTGCATACAGGTAGCCTTGAAAATTCTGATGTCCCAAACATGGAAATATAGTGTAACTGTTACTCTGTATGTATACATTACATGAATACTTATCTGTGCCTATGTATAGAATGACAGGGACATCCATGTCTGGTAGGCACCAGTCAAGTTCATATATGTATATGTACAAGTTTTTATTACAGTATTAATACAAAAAAATACTAGCATATAATAATGCTAAAGGATAAAAATATTCTATCACATGTCATTTTTTGTAGATCTTAGAACTTTGGAACTTCACAACCAATTTTAAGTTGTACCTACAGTTATTATTGAACGTATAGCGTGCTCTGATAATTCAGTAAATATTGTTTACTAATAATATATCCCACAATCTTTCACTAATAACAGGTATTCCATGTGAAAACTTAGGAGACAAAGATTAAAAGCTGACTAGGAGAATCTGCCTGATGTAAGGCCAGCCCTTTATACATTCATATTTCAATATATATGTTTATAGTGTATCATACATGTTGAGTCTCATGCAGGATGTGTGAGACTTACCCATTCCTCATGTCCCTTTCACACAGAGTTGTGGCCATATCATTTATTCATAAGTATAAGTGAATTCACATATTTGTTTTACTGTATACAAGTCAAGAAAAGTGTTTTTTTTCCTTTTAGAGATTTATCTGTTAGTTACTGATAGCTGTGACTGACAGAGAGTATCATTGTTCAGGTTTATTATTTGCTTTAACACAATACTTAGAGAAGTAGTGATTGCATGACTCCATATCAATGATTAGCAACATTTATTGGGTAAATTGCAGTTAAGTAAAAAGTTATACCCAGATTAATTACAAAACAGCATTGAAAGTTTTCAAAAAATTTTAGCAAAAAATTTCATAAAATGGATATCTGTCGGCACTTTCTGTATTATTCGTATGTCATTAAATATTTCGTGCATTGAATGCTTAAAGCAGGACAACAAAATTATGACACACTTCATTAATAAAATCAAGCTACATGTATTTAGATGAATTTTGGTTTTATAAAGTTGCCACTATTGGAATACAGTAATTTAATATTTTGTTACGACTGAAGTGGCCATCATTAGAATTTTCATGTTTTATTAAATATGTTGTGCAGTAAATTCATAAGATTTTTTTATTGGAAGTCTAATACTGTACTTTGTTGTGAGAATATTAGAGTACATACTATAAAGAAAAAGACGGCACAATATCATGACTGGAACAATATGCAGATAACCCGCACACAGGAGACACAAACTTGTGTTGACGTTTCAGTCCAATTTGGACCACTAAGTAGTTAATGGTCCAAGTCAGACAAACATCATGATAAGTTTGTCTCCTATGTGAGAGTTATTTGTGTATACATACTGTAAATTTGTTGCATTGAATTGCTTTGTGCTCAGTAGCACTGCAATATTTATAGATAAATGTTTATTGGCCCAGCTCTGAGGCCCATGTGAACCTCATACAGTTGTGTACAAGATGCATGAATGTAAAGATTCATTGTCACATTATGATGCAGCATTGTCTCTCCAAGTACTAGATGCAGTGGTGAGTGTGGAAATTCTCTCGCTGTTCATTGTGATATTTATCACGCATCTGAAATATAACACAATAAGTGTGTGTTAATCATATATAATGGAAGTGGCTGGCAGTGTTTCTGACACTAGGAATTAAATTATTATATAGTACATATTTGCACCCAATGCTATGTTAATGTTGGAATGAGTACCCTGTGCTGACAAGGGGAAAACTCGGGTAGGGTAAGGAAAGTATTAATATACTGTACTTTTGACAGTAAAAATACTCTGCCACCTGACCTTTCTTATTGTAAGTTACTCTTGATTATGCATTAACATTGAAATCATTTGTATATTACATTTCCTAGCGAGGGCTTGCAAACCTGCTGTAGTTTCCTGCTTAAAAATAATAGTATTTCCTGTTTGTGTTCTTATAAAATTTTCCTTCAGAAAAAGCTTGGAGGGTTTGTTGTTTAATCTGTGTTGTCTTCCAGTTTTATCAGCGCTCATTAAGATATACAGTATTTTTTTATTTTGCTAATATTTTAACAGATCATTTAATTTTGCCTTGAATATTGCATCTTATTTCTTAAAATGTACTGTACATGTGGTTGCTTATAGATTTGTAAGCCTGTGTTAACCTCATTTTTAGTTAGAATTTTTTGTGAGTATATTAATAGCATCATTGAAGCTAGCTTTGTATTTAGTTATTTGTTTTAATGGCGTGTATTTGTTCAGCTTATGTGTAGTGACAGACTCAACTGTGTGTTTAACCCTAGTGTTCATGTCCTTATATTTAGTTTTCTAGCATCATGTTTGTCTTGCAGCGATATAAACGACGATCCCTGCCTAGCAGCTGGCACGAGCGAGCCGTATTTGCCCTCTGGCACTGACATTGGCTCTGACCTTGTACGACAGGTGACCCAGCACTACCCCGACACCTGTACAACTAACATCACCTAAAACTCAAATTCAAAAGCCATGTGAATAGTTATACCAGGACCTAAAGATGTCATAGGAAAAGATGACTAATTTCTTTCCCCTTTCACCAAGCTTAAACTGACCTGTTAGAGCATTACAAGGGCCTTAAAGAAGAAAAATAGGGAGGGAAGAGTTGTATGTTTTATAATATTTTAAATTAGAGTTTGCCACCACTGCTCATTATATTGGGTAAATTATTAATAAGAACAATGTCCAACTAAGATCTGAAAGTAAACAGACCATGTTGTACTGGATATTTGCATATATAAACAATGCCACACAAAGACAAGTAGATTGTAAGCAATATTTGACTTGAGTTGAGCTTTATCATGTCAACAGTAGGACACCAAAATGCTAGCTAATGTCTCATCACAGTGGAAGAGAGAAAAGGAGAACATTAGTGGGAAGGTTGACAAAATGAGGCATAGGTTTTCTTCACTAATCTGATTGCCCAGAAGTAATTTTGCAAGAGGTAGTATATTAAATACATGTTTGTCCATTCTTAAAACTGGATTAGTACAGACTAGGCTGTATTATTCCCAGCCATGACATGGACATATTTTTTTCAAGGTTGATTACACAGGCACTTTTAATGTAGGTAGTAGGTTGGTAGACAGCAACCACCCAGGGAGGTACTACCGTCCTGCCAAGTGAGTGTAAAACGAAGCCTGTGATTGTTTTACATGATGGTAGGATTGCTGATGTCTTTTGTCTGTCTCATAAATATGCAAGATTACAGGCATGTCTTGCTACTTCTACTTACACTTAGGTCACACTACACATACATGTACACATTTATTTATACACACTCATCTGAGTTTTCTTTGATTTTATCTTAATAGTTCTTGGTCTTATTAATTTTCCTTTTATATCCATGGGGAAGTGGAATAAGAATCTTTCCTCCGTAAGCCATGCGTGTTGTAAAAGTCAACTAAAATGCCGGGAACAATGGGCTAGTAACCCCTTTTCCTGTAAAGATTACTAAAAAGAATAAATAGAAGAAAATTGTCAAAGTGGGAAGTCTGAATGTGCGTGGATGTTGTGCAGATGATAAGAAAGAGATGATTGTGGATGTTATGAATGAGAAGAAGCTGGATGTCCTGGCTTTAAGTGAAACAAAGCTGAAGGGGGTGGGAGAGTTTCAGTGGAGAGGAATAAATGGGATTAGGTCAGGGGTTTCAAATAGAGTTAGAGCTAAAGAAGGAGTAGCAATAATGTTGAAGGATAAGCTATGGCAGGAAAAGAGGGACTATAAATGTATTAATTCAAGGATTATGTGGAGTAAAATAAAGATTGGATGTGAAAAGTGGGTTATAATAAGCGTGTATGCACCTGGAGAAGAGAGAAGTGTAGAGGAGAGAGAGAGATTTTGGGAAATGTTGAGTGAATGCGTGGGGAGTTTTGAATCAAGTGTGAGAGTAATGGTGGTTGGGGATTTTAATGCTAAAGTGGGTAAAAATGTTATGGAGGGAGTAGTAGGTAAATTTGGGGTGCCAGGGGTAAATGTAAATGGGGAGCCTTTAATTGAGCTATGTGTAGAAAGAAATTTGGTAATAAGTAATACATATTTTATGAAAAAGAGGATAAATAAATATACAAGGTATGATGTAGCACGTAATGAAAGTAGTTTATTAGATTATGTATTGGTGGATAAAAGGTTGATGGGTAGGCTCCAGGATGTACATGTTTATAGAGGGGCAACTGATATATCGGATCATTATTTAGTTGTAGCTACAGTTAGAGTAAGAGGTAGATGGGAAAAGAGGAAGGTGGCAACAACAAGTAAGAGGGAAGTGAAAGTGTATAAACTAAGGGAGGAGGAAGTTCGGGTGAGATATAAGCGACTATTGGCAGAAAGGTGGGCTAGTGCAAAGATGAGTAGTGGGGGGGTTGAAGAGGGTTGGAATAGTTTTAAAAATGCAGTATTAGAATGTGGGGCAGAAGTTTGTGGTTATAGGAGGGTGGGGGCAGGAGGAAAGAGGAGTGATTGGTGGAATGATGAAGTAAAGGGTGTGATAAAAGAGAAAAAGGTAGCTTATGAGAGGTTTTTTACAAAGCAGAAGTGTTATAAGAAGAGCAGAGTATATGGAGAGTAAAAGAAAGGTAAAGAGAGTGGTGAGAGAGTGCAAAAGGAGAGCAAATGATAGAGTGGGAGAGGCACTGTCAAGAAATTTTAATGAAAATAAGAAAAAATTTTGGAGTGAGTTAAACAAGTTAAGAAAGCCTAGGGAAAATATGGATTTGTCAGTTAAAAACAGAGTAGGGGAGTTAGTAGATGGGGAGATGGAGGTATTGGGTAGATGGCGAGAATATTTTGAGGAACTTTTAAATGTTAAGGAAGAAACAGAGGCAGTAATTTCATGCACTGGTCAGGGAGGTATACCATCTTTTAGGAGTGAAGAAGAGCAGAATGTAAGTGTGGGGGAGGTACGTGAGGCATTACGTAAAATGAAAGGGGGTAAAGCAGCTGGAACTGATGGGATCATGACAGAAATGTTAAAAGCAGGGGGGGATATAGTGTTGGAGTGGTTGGTACTTTTGTTTAATAAATGTATGAAAGAGGGGAAGGTACCTAGGGATTGGCAGAGAGCATGTATAGTCCCTTTATATAAAGGGAAAGGGGACAAAAGAGACTGTAAAAATTATAGAGGAATAAGCTTACTGAGTATACCAGGAAAAGTGTACGGTAGGGTTATAATTGAAAGAATTAGAGGTAAGACAGAATGTAGGATTGCGGATGAGCAAGGAGGTTTTAGAGTGGGTAGGGGATGTGTAGATCAGGTGTTTACATTGAAGCATATATGTGAACAGTATTTAGATAAAGATAGGGAAGTTTTTATTGCATTTATGGATTTAGAAAAGGCATATGATAGAGTGGATAGAGGAGCAATGTGGCAGATGTTGCAAGTATATGGAATAGGTGGTAAGTTATTAAATGCTGTAAAGAGTTTTTATGAGGATAGTGAGGCTCAGGTTAGGGTGTGTAGAAGAGAGGGAGACTACTTCCCGGTAAAAGTAGGTCTTAGACAGGGATGTGTAATGTCACCATGGTTGTTTAATATATTTATAGATGGGGTTGTAAAGGAAGTAAATGCTAGGGTGTTTGGGAGAGGGGTGGGATTAAATTATGGGGAATCAAATTCAAAATGGGAATTGACACAGTTACTTTTTGCTGATGATACTGTGCTTATGGGAGATTCTAAAGAAAAATTGCAAAGGTTAGTGGATGAGTTTGGGAATGTGTGTAAAGGTAGAAAGTTGAAAGTGAACATAGAAAAGAGTAAGGTGATGAGGGTGTCAAATGATTTAGATAAAGAAAAATTGGATATCAAATTGGGGAGGAGGAGTATGGAAGAAGTGAATGTTTTCAGATACTTGGGAGTTGACGTGTCGGCGGATGGATTTATGAAGGATGAGGTTAATCATAGAATTGATGAGGGAAAAAAGGTGAGTGGTGCGTTGAGGTATATGTGGAGTCAAAAAACGTTATCTATGGAGGCAAAGAAGGGAATGTATGAAAGTATAGTAGTACCAACACTCTTATATGGGTGTGAAGCTTGGGTGGTAAATGCAGCAGCGAGGAGACGGTTGGAGGCAGCGGAGATGTCCTGTTTAAGGGCAATGTGTGGTGTAAATATTATGCAGAAAATTCGGAGTGTGGAAATTAGGAGAAGGTGTGGAGTTAATAAAAGTATTAGTCAGAGGGCAGAAGAGGGGTTGTTGAGGTGGTTTGGTCATTTAGAGAGAATGGATCACAGTAGAATGACATGGAAAGCATATAAATCTATAGGGGAAGGAAGGCGGGGTAGGGGTCGTCCTCGAAAGGGTTGGAGAGAGGGGGTAAAGGAGGTTTTGTGGGTAAGGGGCTTGGACTTCCAGCAAGCGTGCGTGAGCGTGTTAGATAGGAGTGAATGGAGACGAATGGTACTTGGGACCTGACGATCTGTTGGAGTGTGAGCAGGGTAATATTTAGTGAAGGGATTCAGGGAAACCGGTTATTTTCATATAGTCGGACTTGAGTCCTGGAAATGGGAAGTACAATGCCTGCACTTTAAAGGAGGGGTTTGGGATATTGGCAGTTTGGAGGGATATGTTGTG